ATGGTTGTGCTACTTCGTTTAATAGGTTTGTACAATCTAATATATTTCTCGGGCCTCGCTGAAGGTCATAAGCAACAGTGATTACTTGGTAATAAGTAGGCTATACCTACGCGATTAAAATAAAATTAAAGCAATTAAAAAAAAGAATATACTTGGACCTAATTGACATTATTAGCGACACGTGCGACGGTTACACTTATTAAAATTCGTCATCGACCAATGTACTAAAAGATCATTTTTTTATTATACACAAAAAAACTGTGATGCATTACTTTCATTATATAAAAACCATCATCAATCTTGATTCTCGACTCGGTTCTAATTACAAACTTAATAAACAGATTTCCCTTAATAATTAATTTTGTCATTTGAGATTTCATCATTAGTTTACTTTCAGTAGGCGCGGCAATGTGGCTCCTTTTGAGCGCTTATAACAGAATAAACGGTGAAAAAAATTATATCAGATTATTTAGCTAAATCTTGTCAAAAATGTTACAAAAGTAAAGTTAAAATGTTACAAGTTTTGTTTGCAAAATAAGAGTTTATTTAAAATAAAATCTACATTTGGAAATACTACACGCGCGACTGTTGCGTCCAATAATATAATAATTGAGATAACCGAGCAAAACGGAGACAAAAGCGGTTTCCGGCGAGCAACATCCGGCCGCCATTCCGTGGCACGCCGCCATCTTGTCGAGTCGCTGCGGTTATCGCCGACGCTGTCCATTTGTTGTCGATGACAAGCGATGCCTTTTGTTCGTAATAGACGAGGGAGACGCTTTGCTCTTTGTGTTCCATTCAATATTCAGAAACAAGAAATGCTAAATACTGACTTGTATAAAAAGTACTGAAGGTGTAAATTAACACAGTTTCCGTGGAGATTTTTGTGTTCATTTATTTATTCACTGTATCGATGGGTGAACAAGCCGTGGCCCATCAGCGGTTACTATCAACCACCAGTAATTATGCAAATGTATACATTATGTTAATTTTGATTCTCATTACGCAATGTTGTTAATTCGTCATGGAAGTCATTCGTATCAATTTTATTTATTATAAAAATTGGTACCAGCCTGTTTGAGATTTGAATCTCGGCCCAGTAGCGTCGCTTGATACGAGTACACCAGGCGACTTATCGTCAAGGCCCCGACGGCTTCAAAGGCGGTATACGCATAGGTGACAGAGCGCCCGTCGTCGCTACACCGGTTAGATTGAGGCTAATTTGCTCTTTGACCATTTTTTAAGTACCCACAATCACGCAAATCAATTTTACGAGTTCATTTTAATGTAAAGCTTCCAAGGAAAAAATCAGTAGAAATTTTCTTATTACTTAAATTAAATTTAGACTTGAAATTTTCTTATTATATTATATGTACCTTTCTTACATAATTTATTATAATATGTTTAATTGTTAACGCAGTCTTAGTTTCATTAATTTGGATATCTTTTTTTCGGGCAGGGGCCGAATGCATGCATGAGGTTTCCGCGCCTAGAGGGTAAGCGGGGTGTGAGTGACAGTCCGCAGATGAATATTCGTGTAAGCCTGCCCTAAATTTGTGGTAAATTTAAGTGACCTATATAAAGGTCTTGTTTTTTTTTTTCTTTTTTTTTTATTGCTTAGATGGGTGGACGAACTCACAGCCCACCTGGTATTAAGTGGTTACTGGAGCCCATAGACATCTACAACGTAAATGCGCCACCCACCTTGAGATATAAGTTGTAAGGTCTCAGTATAGTTACACCGGCTGCCCCACCCTTCGAACCGAAACGCATTACTGCTTCACGGCAGAAATAGGCAGGGCGGTGGTACCTACCCACGCGGACTCACAACAGGTCCTACCACCAGTAAAGAAAAGTCAGTCTTGTTACATAAAATCTTTAAAAAAAAGCAATGTATGGTTTGTCTGATTTGAAAAATATTACAAATAAACTAAATGCCCAACAAAAGTTCTTAAAAGCTTAACTGTAACCAATAGAAACTTTAACAGACTACACCTAACTAATCTTGACATTTCCAGCTTAATTAAGAGCTAAACGTTATAACTCCTGAATACAGTAACAAGATGAGTTTAGTAGCCGGCAGATTTCGTCCTCGGGTCGGTTGAGGAGTAGGGGGCGGGGTTGTGGAGTACGGGGAGGGGGAGTCGCAACAAGTGGCGCCGCGACGCCGACTCACAACCTATTTAACAGAACCTACACAGTTCATTTAAAAACAGTCACATCACTTGCAAATGTAACTGGGTATCGTCAGGCAAAGAGTCTCAATTGTATCAAAAACAAATATTTAATGATTTTTATCGTGACATCATCAACAGATCTATTTTTAAACTGTACTATTGGTTCTACTAATGCGTTGAGATTAATAGATTACATCTTGCAGTTAAGCGCTTTCGGTCACGTCGGTTTGGTTGTTAGTGGAACTGGACTCGTGGAGCCAACATCTTACCGCGTTCGGGAACGATCTGGATGTACCACATAGGACGCAAGATTATTTTTCTAATTAAACTTCAGAATTAAGTAGAGTATCTTTGGAACCTTGCCTAAAGGGCCTCCTTTTATTATAATATATTTTAGTTATTAAATAATTATTATTTTTATTTATTTTTTAAGGTTTTTACTTTTAAGTTCATTATTAGTAATAGTAGGTGTACACACCTACAGTTGCTTAAGTTCTAACATACGAATAGATTAATATTATTTGTCTATAGTCTAGTCTTGGCGAAATCTGTGATTAAAGAACCATGATTATTGAGTAGAGTAGTATCCGCTGATCGCCACTTGGTAGACGGCGTCAGTAGTGTCGCAAGCAATCATCTTTCATTCAAATTATCTCCTTACGCAATTTTACTGGTGGTAGGACTTCTTGTGAGTCCGCACGGGTAGGTACCAGTGCCCTGCCTATTTCTGCCGTGAAGCAGTAACGCGTTTCGGTCTGAAGGGTAGGGCAGCCGTTGTAACTATACTGAGATCTTAGAACTTATATCTCAAGGTGGGTGGCGTATTTACGTTGTAGATGTCTATGGGCTCCAGTAACCACTTAACACCAGGTGGGCTGTGAGTTCGTCCATCCATCTAAGCAATAAAAAAAAATTCATAATAATAAAGTGTGTCAGCCGACTGACTGTACGAGCCGCGACGCCCCTGATACTTATCGACGGCTCTCAAAGTGACATCTTGACAGCACTCGACAAAGAGAAGTTGACTGCCTCGGTTTCCTCATGAAGAACGTTACTTGAAGCGTACCGACTTTATAATTATTTAACTCGCATTGTATACAGTAGTAATATAAGTTTAGAATTTTAATAAATAGAAAGTTAATGTTGTTAGTTTTGCGTTTTGACAAAAATGTGTATTAAGGCGCTTGTTAATTATCTTTGAAAATAAGTCGATTGATATTCACAGATTTCATTTATTTCTCGTTTGTAAAATGACACGTAGGTACAGACAATGTTATTACAATTTATATAGTTGTTAGTAATTTAAGCAGGAGAAAGCTCATGACTCCAAATTTATTGTACTCGTTTGCTTTCGTTTCTTTATATATACTTAAGTATTATTAATAGTCAGAACATTATTAAAAAAATAGAGTGCCGTATTTATAGATTAAGTTTATAATTTTAGTATAATATTTTTTTCACTGATAACAAGAACCGGAGGTAACTGAAGACCATTACTCAAATGATTAGTCTCATCATTATCCTGTCCTTCTCCCAGTCACCTGGGGTCGGCGCAACATGTTTTCTCCTTCCATACTCTTCTATCATATACCATTTCTTCGCTCACTCCCCTCTTACCCATAACGTCTTTCACACAATCCATCCATTTCTTCTTAGGTCTACCTCTTCCTCTATATCCTTCCACATTCATAGTTAACACTCTCTTACCGATCTCATTTTCATTTCGTCTCATCACATGTACACACCATCCCAAACGCGCACTCCTCAGCTTCTCTGTCACAGGTGCCACTTTCAGACTTCCTCTAATATATTCAAATGATGAGTCTCCCGCTAAATATTTGACGACAATGTTTGGTCTGTTCCAGTACGAGATCGAATCACCCCGGGGCCGTTGTCGACATCAGCGAGAATCCACTTGACGCTAGTAAAGTAAGATATCATCTAGAATTATCATTTCAACATCGTGTTCGTTTGCGAAAATATAACAAAGAAATCGATATTATTGACGAAATTTAATCTGCGCAATTATTAAACCTAGCTCCAAACAATATTAGCAGTGGAAGGAGCTGACCATGAGCCCGTAAGGATACTTCGCGTTACGCCAATATACCATTTTACAAATTTAACTACTGGCTGAGTGCTAGAATCTAGTCTAGTCTAGTCTTTTTTTAGTGGTGGTAGGACCTCTTGTGAGTCCGCACGGGTAGGCACCAGCTCCCTGCCTATTTCTGCCGTGAAGCAGTAATGCGTTTCGGTTTGAAGGATGAGGCAGCCGTTGTAACTATACTGAGACTTTAGAACTTATATCTCAAGTTATGTGGCGCATTTACGTTGTAGATGTCTATGGGCTCCAGTAACCACTTAACACCAGGTGGACTGTGAGCTCGTCCAACCATCTAAGCAATAAAAAAAAAAATATTGACGAAATATAATCTACGCAATTATTAAACCTATCTCCAAGCAATATTAGCAGTGGAAGGAGCTGACCATGAGCCCCTAAGCATACTTCGCGTTACGTACGCGAATATGCGACTTAATAAATTGGACTACATAAACTGAGTGCTACTTTATTTATTTATTCCATTAAATTCAAAGCCAGGCTTACAGTTTGCACCAAAACGCTTGATTCGTTAACACAAAAAACATTATTAAAATTATTAAGTACTATTAATATGCAAAAAATAACATTATTTTGGAAAAAAGTATTCCCCAACTATCGGCAAATACGTCAGCATCCTGGATTTCGAACAGAAATTCGTTTAACAGCGCAGCGCTACAGTCTAATGATCTAAATCTCGTATTTCAGTTACTGATAGCTTTTGAATCGGGTCTGCTGGTGGTATGGGACCTCCGCGCTCGCACCGCCGAGTGGCGGGGAGCCCTGGGGACCGGGGGGCCCGCCGACGGGGTCAGGGCCGCCGCCTGGCAACACGATGGTAAACTAATGACTGCTCACATCGACGGTGCCCTGGCGACATGGACTACGAGGGGACCGAGACCTTCTTCCGTTTCTTATCCTCATGGTAAGTACAATGAGCTACGAGCATATTGAATCCTTACGTAGTACAACAGCTACTGGACTTTTCAGTTTTTTTAAACATTTAAACTACGTAACAAATTTAACAATTCTTGTACTTTACTCCCCATTTCCTACCCCCTCTTGTTCCCTCTAGTTCCTATCTTTGTACTGGTAATGTACCAATTCTGTTGAAGATTAATCTTATCTCACTATGGGTGAGGTGCTAAAAAAAACTCATGTCCTTTTCTTTAATCCCATTTCTTTGAGATGAGTATGAACTAATTTCAACGAAATGCTTAGAGCACTCCTGTATAAGTACAATTGCATTCCAACCAAACACAGTTCTCCATTATGTTTCTACCGAATGAAAACAGGTACCATGAAGGGGTAATTTGAGTATACAAAAAAGACGGTTGTTGAGTTTTTGGTGACGCATTAACGTGGTGTTAAATCCAAGACTTTTCTTTCCACAATTTTGGTCTATTGCGTCAAGATTCTCTCTTACTCGTAAACGCCTCACAGCCCTCAAATAATATTCATTATTTACCGTTTAACTTTCCGGCAAGAATTCCGAGTGCACAACACCGCGATAGTCAAAGGAAACAGTAAATAAGACTTTGACTTTTAATGGACTTAATGGTCTTAAAAACATATAAAATGTTTTTAATAAAAACATATCAAAGTTCACTGAAACCGATAAAAACTTCTTATCGATTTCGGTTCAGTTGGTAGGCGCCACTCCGAAGCTTGTTGACTAGTTTGCATCTCAAACTCATAAACCCACTTCTCGTCACCAGTGTCAATGTGTTTCATGAATTCGGAATTCGGTCGCAATTCATTCGTTCTAGCGTGTCCTCTGCGACTTTTATGCGATTGAGCTTAAGGAGAAAATTCAGATTTTTGGGACCAGCCGAGCGGCAATATGTTACCCAACCAATTATTTAAATAAAATGGTACGGATCGACTCGTGAAACACAAAATTCGGCGACTATCTCTTAAACTTGAATTATTATTTTCAGTCTTTTTTTTTCCTACCTAATCTGATAGCCTTGAGAGGCTATATCAGCGTAACCTTAACTAGTAGGTGAGCTCACGGGGCTCAAACCTGATGACGTTGCTAACACGAACCCTAGCAAGAGCCGTGCTTCGCAGAATCTACCGCCGGATCGGAAACACGAACCACTGAGAAGACCCGGCGAGAAACTCAGTGGGCTATTTTCAGTCACTATTTCCTTTTACCATGTAAGCATCAGTTGCAGACGTTGATGACTTAACGAGAGCGACGCACGTCTTCCATCACATCTCGACTGCATTTGAACGTTTTATACCACTCATAACGACATTTTTTTATAAAGTCGATTCACCGTGAGACTTCTGTAACACTTGCAGACACTCCGAACACGAAATTCCATTGTCAACGCAAAATTTAAAACAAACTCTTTGTTCGATGTTTTTGTCCATTATGAAATTCGCAATACTCACTAGATATGATATAATTATTATAAAAAAAACATTATATTTAATGTAAATAACAGATGCAACTCAAAATCCGCGCCAAAATTGAAAATAGTTGTGCCCATCTAACAACAAAAAAAAAAAGAGTTTTGAACAGTAAAAAATTTACAGAAAGTATATGTTATATTTAGTTAAAATTTATCGTGTTTGTTTTTTCAGCGAAAGCAACCAAAGACGGTAAATTGGAGACCTGCAAACCTATACACCGGCTTGAATGGAAAACTTCGAAAACAGGGTGAGTCATCGCCAAAATGTTCATAAATAAATGTTTTTGTGCAACCGATGTAAATCATCCGAGTAATATTAAAATGAACAGGAGGATTAAAATCATAATGGTTTCATTCAATTAGGCCTTTTAAGGCGCTCAGAAACGATCGCATCTACCATCACTTCGGAACTCAGTTTCAACAATGAGAGGATTCAACAAGAAACTTAGGACTTGCTCTTTTGCAACGATACATGTGTAAATGCTATACAAGTTCTATTGGGTATTTTCATACCCACATTACGCTAAGATTCCGTTTAGTGGTGGATATATTTAAATACTAATCTTCTGGCACTGATGTTTGGTTTGTGGTATCCAGGAAGAAGGCGATCCTGCAGAACTGGACGCCCATTTAAATCTGAACGAGACCATACCAAATCTAAACCAGTTGTGTCCACCTTGTTCTCAAGGTGACATGAGGAGTGTTGCGCTCCAGAATTCCGATACTGTTCTTTCATCAATCGGCCTTTTAGTGCCACGAAGTAGTTATGCGTTATTGCTTGAAGGGTGGACAGCTGTGATGTAAGACAATTGAAATTTCAAAATGGCTGGCACCCTGTCCAGTTAGGAAGGGCCTTTGAGCCCTCGATATATGTAGTCTAGTCGTTAGGAATTTGTTTGTTGTTGTTTTTTTCTTTGAATAAAATCTTGTACCCTCGCCTCGTTAGCGAGAGATCATGGCTAATGTGCCGGAAGATGACGCTACATTGAACAAGCGATCCGGCTCGTTTATTGCATTCGAACTAAGCTTTCTCGTTTATCAAACTGTTTTGCATAATGGGGATATAACGCTATTTCTTTGCTTTAAGGTCAAAATAAATTGGTACAAGCCAAACATATTTGAAATGCTTCTATTGATTCTTTAATTAGTCCCAAATTAGAAGCGTACGTAATTTCCAAAGCCAATAGCAAGTATTAATTTCTTAAAAATGACGTATAAAATGATAGATGAAACCCGTAGGTAGCTACAGGTGTCTGCGTCAGTATCCGCGCAACTTGTACGGGCTAGTTTAAATCACAAGTCGGCACGGTTTATCGTTCATAAGAGGAGCTAATATTTTCACTTTGCCATACTGGGTTATTACGAAAGCTTTAAGAAGGCATGCCTAGAAACATTATAATATGATCTTGACATTTAAGGGACATCTTAATTACTTAATTTTGCTTACATGGCGTAAAATTGCTTAAATTTTTTATTAAATAGCGCTACAAGAATAGGGTTAAGTTAAAAATAACACAGTTAAAAGAAGTGACTCTAAACTATTATTTTTAACACAATGTCGAATACACAGTCAATAATTACTATCCATATAAAAATGTCGGTAAGACGTTGGTCTATAACATTATTTAGTAAAATAGTAATGTCGACCTTTTACAAAGGTCATAACAATTTAATGCAATTAAATCTGATATTTTACAATAGCTCTGTGCGTTAGTTTGATTTTTTAAGACGCTTTCTGAAGCATCACTATTATTTTTATCATTATTACGACAAAAGGCAACGCTAGATTTTACAACCCCTTAAATTGTCACACCGTGCGCTTTAAGCGAAAGCGCTTTAAAGGCTTAAATCTCAAAAACGAACTCAAAAGCTTATAAACCCTACTCGTTCGTGAGCGAACAATATAAAATAAAAAATGTTAAAGCCCCCGAAAATTTATTGTGCCTTGTAAGTAAAATAAAAAGTTGTTTTACAATTTTCAGTGAAAGCTTGGTGATATTCAGCGGTGGGTTGCCGACAGACAAGGCCGGGAAAACGCACAGCATCACCGTCCTCAACGGAAAGAGCACTACCGTGCTAGAGATGGAGCATAGCGTCGTTGACTTCGTAACCTTATGCGAGACTCCCCACACTGCCGGTAGGAAGACCTTGCTTAGCAAGACTTTAGTTCTATACCGAAGATCTTCTATGAGTTTGTCAATTTTTTTTTTTATTTCTTAGATGGGTGGACGAGCTCACAGCCCACCTGGTATTAAGTGGTTACTGGAGCCCATAGACATCTACAACGTAAATGCGCCACCCATCTTGAGATATAAGTTCTAAGGTCTCAGTATAGTCACAATGGCTGCCCCACCCTTCAAACCGAAACGCATTACTGCTTCACGGCAGAAATAGGCGGGGTGGTGGTACCTACCCGTGCGGAATAGCAAGAGGTCCTACCACCAGTAAAACAAGAGGTCCTACCACCACCAGTAAAATAGTCCAGTCTTACAAATCAGTTGGCACGGCTGTGTGTGTGACCATTCTCGAACTCATGCCACTATTGTCACAGCAGCGGTCTCGGTGGGATAGATACTATCCTGACTATTTCTGCCCCGACGATGTCATTCATTTCGGACATTAAAATTGATATATTAACTTAGCATCCCAATGGGTTGGTGTTCTTTGTATATGCTGTGATGTCCATAGGCTCCTGTAACCTCTTAACAGATACAAAAACACAAATATCAGAAATGGCGTCTAAATTGGTAACTAAGTATATTTGTTTTTGCAAACAAAAGTTTGTACTTCGTATTGGTGGAAAATGAAGACATCCGTTTTGAAATAGAATAGGTACCCTTGACATTGTCTATGTTAATACACTTCTAACCACCTAGCTATTAGTCGTGACTAGCTACTGGCTACTCTATTCGAAGTCCAGATCTGATTCCGACCGAAGTCTGTATTTTTGTTAGGCATGATTTATTTCATTTATGTTTCTGGGTCCAGGAGAAATACCGGCTTTAAATTTTGCATGTAGATTATATAACTGGCCTTTTTAACTAATTACAGTTTAAATTCCTGCCCAATATATAACTTCTATTTTTTATTTTTTTATTGATTAGATGGGTGGACGAGCCCACAGTCCACCCGGTCTTAAGTGGTTACTGGAGCCCATAGACATCTACAACGTAAACGCGCCACCCACCTTGGGATATAAGTTCTAAGGTCTTAGTACAGCTACAACGGCTGCCCTACCCTTCAAACCGAAACGCATTACTGCTTCAGGGCAGAAATAGGCAGGGCGGCGGTACCTACCCGCGCGGACTCACAAGAGGCCCTACCATCAGTAACCAGTAACTTTGGAGCGCTGTCTGCGGCTAGATGCAGGGAGCAGAGACCGTCTGTCGCTCCCCTGCACACCGATCAGCATTATGTGCTTGTTCACGTAGGAAAGCGCGGGCGCGACGGCGGGGGCGGGCGCGGCTGACGTAGCGAGTCGTGTTCACATTGACCGCCAGGCGTTTGCGCGGACGTGACTGTTTTCAGAGATTGGAAACATGAACGACAATGTTTTATTTTTAACCGAAAATTCATACCTAAAGAAGAAGATGATAATAATTAGAATCGATGTGCATGAAATTAATAAAGAAAGAGAACGGTATGGTGAATGGCGACAGGTTCATACTGGTTGAACTTACCTGACATCGCGAGTGAATCGCGCGCTTCGTCGCTAGTTCGACGTGCACACACATATACAACTCACGCGTTTGATATTGCCGCGCTCGCCAGTCGCTAGCTTGCCCGCTACTTAGACCGCGCGTGCGTATATTACTCGTATATTACGCCATACGTCTGATATTTCGTGACTGCGCCCGCCACCGCGCCCGCGAGTCAACGTGAATGAACACTAACAGATGTCTTCCTGTTCTCAGACTACCAAGAGCCGTACGCGATAGTGGTGCTGCTCCAGAACGACCTGGTGGTTATAGACCTGCTGTCTCCAGGATACCCCTGCTTCGAGAACCCATACCCCATGGACATTCATGAGTCTCCCGTCACATGTTGTTCTTACTTTGCTGATTGTCCCTCCGATTTGGTGAGTGAATACTAAATTGAAACAGTTTGAGAGAAACACTTGGTGGTATCTTACTGATATGCGGTCATTGTTGGCGTCAGTGAATATCTATACTAATATATAAATCTACAGTGGTTTACGGATGTTCTGTTATAACTACTAAACCTTTTTTTTTTCGGGCCGGGGGTCGAACCTCCTACGAGGTCCCCGCGCCTAGGGGGCGCGCGGGGTATGTGAGACTCAACGATCTGCAGATTTTGAGAGCAGATCGCGGGCCCAAGGATTTTAGGACCCACCCACTAAACATAACTACTAAATCATGCATCCGATTGACTTGAAACTTGGTATCCATGTAGAAAATACACGCACTTAATGGATAGGCTAATATTTATATGAGTGTTGGACTCACTACACCAGTTGCGGGAGCTTTAATGATGAGAATCTTTGTGGGGGTGAGAAATAATAATGTTAATTTTAAATTCCCAGCGAAGCGGACGAGTACAGCTAGTATAATATATGATTGTAGCAAGTCAGGCAATTTAAAAACAATTTCAGATCCCCGCGTTCTACTCAGTGGGCAGGCAGGGTAACAAGAAGGTAGCAGGGTTTAGTGAAAAGCTGTGGCCCATCAACGGTGGAGAGTGGGCACCCGCCTCTTGCTCATACAGCGAAATTATACTCACCGGGTGAGTAACAACAAGATATTTTGATGTCTCTACGAGTTTTATGTAGAGAACGCCATCTATATAAACAAATGTTATTTATATTTTTGTCTGTGGTTTTGACACAAAATCTATTTTCAAGCTTAAACAAAGCTAATCCCAAAGAAAACAGTATTGATTATTTATGAAGCTATTGCATAGCTTTTATCTCGGGTTTTGAGCGCGGCGACCGAATCAAGAAATTCCGTAACGAAAATAAAACCTAATACCCCCACTCCGCCTACCACGCGTTGCGCTTGTGTAGTGTTTGTAAATAAGCGCGCGGCGTGACCTCGCACTGCATGCGCATCGTGAAAAGTCTGCCCATCTCTCTCTCGCGCGGTCTAGCTTATGAGTGTGAAGGGGACAGTTAATGTTTATAAATATAGCGTGGTCTTATTTTTTATGGTTTTAATATTAAATTATTATTGTCTAATTATAATTACATAAGTTGATAAAAATGCTATGCAATAGCTTTTCCGCGGCAATCCCCGAGTGCACTTTGGAATCTCCAAAATGTATGATCAGATTGTTTATATTGATTTCCGCAAACATTCATAACATTCCTCTATATATGTTACTGTTGATTTTCCTGAGAAATAAATAGATAACTCTTTCCTTCGATCTCCAAAACTTTGAGATAAATTGTGACATCATTGTTTATCGACGTGTTTCTTAGAATCACGCTTGAGGCAATTTTTAGGGTAGGCAGCGGCACGTTTTTGTTGTATGCACGTACCCTTTGGATGGCAGTAAAAAATAACTTTGGAATGAGTGTCTCAACTCAACAAAAGTGGCGCTGTACTTGTTTACCAACATCGTTTGCTGCGAGAGAGATACCTCATCGGATCTTTATTTTAAAATATAATTGATTATGGAGGGTGACAAATCAATCCAATTTATTACGATGGTAGGACCTCTTATGAGTCCGCACGGGTAGGTACCACAACCCTGCCTATTTCTGCCTTGAAGTAGTAATGCGCTACGGGTTGAAGGGTGAGGCAGCCGTTATGACTATACTAAGAGTTTAGAACTCATATCTCAAGATGGGTGGCAGGCAGCAATTACGTTAACACCAGGTAAGCTGTAAGCGCGTTCATCCATACTTCTTCTTCTTCTTCTTCTCTGTCGTTTCCTCATTGCTGAGGGTCGTGACCACCTTGGTCCAGTTTTTGCACCAGCTTCCTCCAATGCTGCCTGCATTCGGCCTGCTTAATGGCGCTAAATTCTGTTGGCGCTAAATGGCGTTAAATCCATACACGCAATAAAAAAAAAAGTGGGACTCCTCACGTAAGCCAAATGAGGTCATGTAAACAGAAAATTATCCGATAACAATACTAGGAAACAATAATATTAACTGTTGTATGTTTATGTGAAGTAAACGACCGTTCTGTTCCCAGGCACGCGGACGGTAGCGTCAAGTTCTGGGACGCGAGTGCGGGTACTTTACAGATCTTGTACAAACTGAAATGTTCTAAAGGTTTGTGCCTCATATTGAACTATGGTCATTTTAAAAACTATTTTTGATTAACGAAAATGATGCTGCTCTTGTTAAGACACCTGGCTAGAAGTATGCAGAGGTAACCTATATCATATGTGCTTATTTGCAACATTTTGTTTGAAATGCTTTGTCTCTGTGTCGGAAGACGAATTTCCTGGAATCAGATGTGTACAGCCGGCCTTATCTATGACCTGATAAATATACAACGGCGATTACGTGGTCGTTGATCATAAAATCCATAGACACTACCCGTTCAGTTTCTTGCCGGATTTTCTCTATAGCTCGTTATTCCGATCCGGTGGTAGATTCTACGAAGCACTGCTCTTGCTAGGGCCAGTGTTAGCAACAATCTTAAGTCGAGCCGGTGAGCTCACCTAACAGCCAGTGTGTATCTGGAATAGCTTTTTAGGCTGCCAATGAATAGATACGGGAATAAGATCATAAAAACAATTTTAATAAAGTAAGTACTAAAAATTACTTTATCAAGAGTAAGACAAAACAAGACGAATCTCGAAATCTGTATGTCTTCTGAACAAATGCTCCATAAAGTGTAGTTTACAGAGATCAGTAAAATCAAGCGTTAATATATCTAAAGGGCACGCATCCGTGGATCGTATCTTCCAAACAGGAACGCTCGCCAGTAGCTGATATATTTACACTGAACAGAAAATGTATGCACTGACGTACAATTCTACGTGAGATAGTAGTGTCTATACTTTAATGAAGTCGTCGTGGCCTAACGGATAAGACGTCCAGTGTATTCGTGTTGAGCGATACACCGGTATTCGAATCTCAGGCGGGTACCAATTTTTCTAATGAAATACGCACTCAAAAGATGTTCACGATTGGCTTCCACGGTGAAGGAATTACATCGTGTAATAAAAATCAAACCCGCAAATTTTTAATTTGCGTAATTACTGGTGGTAGGACCTCTTATGAGTCCGCACGGGTGGGTAGAACCACCCTGCCTATATCTGCCGTGAAGCAGTAATGTTTTTCGGTTTGAAGGGTGGGGCAGCCGTTTTAACTATACTTGAGACCTTAGAACTTATATCTCAAGGTGGGTGGCGCATTTACGTTGTGGATGTCTATGGGCTCCAGTAACCACTTAACGAGGTGGGCTGTGAGCTCGTCCACCCATCTCTGGTAGGTGGCGGGCGCACAGCTGGCGCTAGCACTAGTCAGTAGGTAGACGAGCCGTCCGTGTGCGCAGTGTTCGAGCGCGGGGGGGTGGCGGGCGGCGGGGCGGCGGGCGAGGAGAGCCCGGTGGCGGCGCAGCAGCTGGCGCTCTGTGCGGAGTCGCGGCGCCTCGCGGTGGCGCTCCCGCACGGACACGTGCTGCTCTTCAAGTTCCGCAAGACGGAGACGCACGGAGAGACACACGTACGTAGCAACTAACATTCTCTGCACCTCGACACTGAACCCGGGGGCTGCTACTCTTTACTGGCATTTTTTACTGGTGCTAAGACCTCTTGTGAGTCCGCACGGGTAGGTACCACCAACCTGCCTATTTCTGCCGTGAAGCAGTAATGCGTTTCGGTTTGAAGGGTGGGGTAGCCGTTGTAAATATACTGAGACCTTAGAACTTATATCTCAAGGTGTGTGACGCATTTACGTTGTAGATGTCTCTCCAGTAACCACTTAACACCAGGTGGGCTGTGAGCTCGTCCAACCGCCTAAGCAATAAATAAAAAAAAACAAGTATTGGGGCTTACTGAGCAAACTGCAAACTAATCGAACGCCATTACTACCGCGTGAATGTCCCCGCCGACCTCCTGATTTATGGTCGAAATCTCAATTGGGTTGGACTAATAGCTGTCCAAGCTCTTCAAAGTGAAACGCGCAGCTGTAAACAAGTAGATGACGTCGGCTCACGACACGCCACTACATGACTGGTGTCAGAGTACATACACATCATAATATAATTGGAATACAATTCAGCATCCGGTATGATCATCTCGCTGCTGGATCAGAATTAAATTGGAAATTAACGCAATTTTCATGCGACATTCAGTAGGCGAATATCTATTTATTCAAGTGTGATATAATAAGTGTCCAGTCTTAAATGTGACTGACAAAAGAACTGTTCTGATTTCATCCGTTCACTTTAGGTTATAGAAGTCCCTATGATCACGGACACGCTGGAGGAGGAAACGTCTCCGGAGGCCGAGGGCGGGAGGTCCATGTCGTTCAGTCGAGGAGCGGACTCTGTAGAAGGAGAAAATAGAAGGGTGCGGTTCCGTATAGAATTTTGTATTAAAATTGTGTTTTACTTTTATGTAGTTTAGAGTTAACTGGACTTGTGAAACGTGTATATATGGTTTGTAATTATTCATGAACGGTTGTTGTCGGCGGCTGCCCCTAGCATTGCTGAAATCCATGGGCGACGGTAACCACTCACGATCAGGGGGGCCGTATGCTCGTCTACCTACAAAGGCAATGATAAGAATTGTTATAATAAATATTTGATATTGGTGCAGTCTGGCGTGTGGGGCGGCNGTTAACTGGACTTGTGAAACGTGTATATATGGTTTGTAATTATTCATGAACGGTTGTTGTCGGCGGCTGCCCCTAGCATTGCTGAAATCCATGGGCGACGGTAACCACTCACGATCAGGGGGGCCGTATGCTCGTCTACCTACAAAGGCAATGATAAGAATTGTTATAATAAATATTTGATATTGGTGCAGTCTGGCGTGTGGGGCGGCTGGTCGTCACTGCGCGTGCGCGGCGCCAGCGGCACGGGGGGCGCGCGGCGTGCTGCGGGGTTCCAGCCCGCCCTCGTGGCGCTGCAGCCCGGCCCGCCCCACGCCGTCACCGCACTCACGCTCAACTCTTCCTACGGACTGTCAGTACACACACTTGTACACTCACTACCCTCCTCACGCTACACATCCAAACCTTTCACGTAAAACATAAATTACTCAATGTATATGTTACTAAACAAGTGGTAACTAGCTAGAGCTATATGAAATGTACTTTGGGTAGACAAAAAATTACCATGGAAGACATAATCCAGAATGGGACGCTGCCCTCCTGCCGCCTGTCCTGTTCAAACCTCGTGTGAAGAAAACCGTCATAACGCTTAGCAACCTTTGTAAGAGGCAATGAATATGACACAATCTGAGACGGGAGGTCGTAATGGACTCTTCGCAATTGCGGCGCTGGGCCGTTTGATGGAAAAATTATATAAGAATACATGTTTGCCTTCATAACGCAAATCTAATTTTATTGTAAGTTGATTATAGTATTAAACATAGTACAGTCAGTTAGAAGCGGCCGAGACTGCACAAGTACTAATGAAGGCCCCCGCGAGTCCGTGGTCCACTCCCGCCGCGCACGACGTCGCTCTGCTCACCCACACTGAATCTTATTCCCTCGCGCCGTCCTTTCCTCTCCGTCTCTGTATACAACGATAGTAAGTACATGGATTATGAACTATGCAGTATGGCGTGGGGCGGGGATCGCGGGGTGGTGGTGGTGGATATGTCCCGGCGGTGCGTGGTGTCGGCGCTGTGCACGGCCGCGCTGTACCACGCGCCGCGACACACAGAGAGACAGCGGTCGCCCAGCCTCGACCAGGTAAACCTGACACCTGCACACACACACACGCACACAAAGTAAGTTTTACTAATAAATAGTTTTTTGTGGGATTTTCACAAAACATAGACGGGATTTAGAAAAAAACAAATATACGGTTCAATCGTGGGTTTATTTACGTGTGATGTGTACTACTCATCACCACACACACACACACACGCATCATCCTTATATACTACAAGTATACTTACGACATACACTCAGTGCAAGACACTTGCAAGACACAAAATGAAACATAATGTCACCCTATCACGACTCATACACTACATACATATTTAGTTGATACTAAATACTACCCGTAAATGTATGAACGCATTGCCTAATGTTAAGAAATGGGTAACCTTGACGCGTAAGCTCGAGGTCTCAAATGCACCAAACAAGCGACAACTACTCTCGTGCGATCTCCTCATTCCCACCATCGATCTATACGCAACAAGACAAGTTCTGACTTTACACCAACGCACACTAAACTAGACGTAAAACATTAAACATAGATCCAAGCTTAGTTCTTATAGGACTGCACTAGGAACTTTAGGAGATTGCGGCCTGATAGACTATACAACTAGCGCCACTCGAGTGAGGTGTGCTTATAGAACACACGTCCCAACACGTTAGATGCGTAATCACGAAATCTAGATGAACAGAAACTTCTGTTATTTATTGTTATTAAAACTGTTGTCGAAGTTTGTACAAGATCTCGGGATCCTGGACGCCACTCGTGACAATTTGGTCGTCGCAACCCCGGTCTAACGTTGTCAGAAAATGTTCAATAGAACTGTCCGTGTCAAAAATGTTAATATATATCTACTCAATTGCCGATGTCAAGCTTTGCTTAACTATGAACTCAGTAAAATTCAAAATAAAATGGAAGTGATTTAGTCACGTGCCAGTAGTTTTCCTAACCAAATTATTAACCGAAAAATTCTCGGGTTAGGTATTTTATTTGGATAAAACAGCAATAATAATAAAGTTCGTGTTAAAAGCTCAAAGTCCGACATCCGTATGTTCGCATTTAAACAACGCGCCCCCGGAACTTTAGCGTAACAATGTTTCGCGCCATTTATTTGTCATTATAAATTGGTGACTAACGTTTCACGCGCTGTCTTATATGTCAAGTATCTAGGAAAAAATATTTAAAACTATCTCGTTAAATTTTAATAGCAACAAAATAACAGGACGTATCTCTACAAGTAGTGTGACATAGTGGAGTCAATGAATTGTACACCGGACTCCTTATGTAGTATTCACAAAGAAACACGGCGAAAAGGTATTCTAATTACACTACAATGATTTATATTTATTAACGTATAGTGAATATTTCATTTTATAAGATCACCTTCAAAAATTTTATGTAAAACTATGACGTTACGACATATTACTCGTACACACAGTAACTCTACATGTGGCAGATATGCGACCTCTACTACAGACTATTCAATTAACAAAACAGGAAGCTTTCAAACAGTTGGAAACATTTTCTATGTTTAAGAGATTGTTAATTATGTAATTACTTCACGTTATTCTTGATTTGCATTTTGATTTCACTTTCAATAATTTGCGACGTCCGTCCGAGTAACTGCGGCGGTTGTACCCTCAGTATTTTTATTTAAGTTTTTTTACTAATTTCACGATTATTTTATAGTAATTTTAGCCGTAGCGTTTACCCCGCTCGTCCCCGTAGACAACCGGCATGGCATCGTTAGTCATTGTTTATCCTCAGCCTGTCTTTCGCTCTCTACACACTTTTGTAAGGTTCGCAGAATCATGATGAGCGTTTCGAAATACCACGATATCTGTCCGAGAGACCTCAGTAGTTCTCAATCGGTGCGACGCACGACACCGGCGCCGCCTCGTTAGGTTGACCGTGATGTTTGTTGTCCCCCGGGGAGGCGGAGGAGACGCCGCGGCCCTCGCCCGCGCTCAGCCCCGAGGCGCCTGAGGAGGCCGCACCGCCCCCGTTGCCGCTCGAGGAGAAACCTAAGCTCGATCCGCGCCGAAAGTCCACCTCCTGGAAGAACTTCAACCTCAAGCGACAGCTCTCTAAGGTCGACCTCAAGTTCAAGGCCGCCTTTGCAGTTCCCACCGAGAACAACTTGGAAGAGACGGTCGCAGAAAAGAGCACTTCTCAATTTTATTGCGAAGCGACCGATAAAACCGACGCCGCGGTCGAACCTAACGCGGAGTCACCTGAACTCGACGATAACAAGACTGTAGTGAACGAAGAGGACAAGAGTCAACTATCTTCACCGCTGCGGGTGTGCTCCGACGTGTTCGAAAGAATGCATAAGGAACTACAGGAGAAGAGGTCCTCTGATGTTTATGATAGGATGCACAAAGAGCTACAAGAACGGTGGAAGGACAAGGAAGCCAACGAACCTGCTGTCTCCCCCGACGTCTCTCCCGTTGTCGAAGAAGAGAAGGCAACGCGACCCGACAACCTACCTTTATTCGAAGAAGACGGAAGGCCGACCAGACCGCCTCGCCAAAAGGGAAAGATCAAAAAGGAGGATGTCGAAAAGAAGGATCAGCGAGACCAAAGGCTGCTGTCGGTGCCAAATATTAAGTACAGTAAGCAGGAGGGTGCGAAGGAGACGCGACGCAAGCAGCCCTCCAGCCAGCAGGCCTCGTTCGCCGGCAACCTGATGCGGCGCTTTAGTAAGTACCTGCCGACAGCGGCGCCTCTCATGTCACATCCATCATCACTAACGCCGGGCCCCACACTCTCCGCTCCGTAGCACTTAGACGGATACTCGCTGGCCTAACGTAGTACTTCTGTCTTGTTCGATAACTATTGAATGGTGAATGGTAAAGATTTGGCGATTATGATCTTCACTAAAAACGTAGATATTTTTTCTTAATCCAGTGTAATATAGATTTAGCTCGTTAGAATATGGTATGGTATGCTAGTTAGAATTTTTGATACTAATTCTATTAACCAGCGCGGTGGTTGATTGACAAGTGAGCTGTCTGTTGGTGGAGACTTAGAGAGTGCGACCTCTTGGTGAAGACGTCCCATTCAGAACGCTTGAAGCTTCTTGTGATATTTCGCTTTTTATTTATTTGTTTACTTGTACTGTAAAAACTATTAATAAAATTGAAAAATCATTATATATTATAATATTATCATGAATATATTATGAATATAAATAAATAATATGTAATCAATATATTATATAAGTAATCAGTAATCACTGTGTACAGATCGCACGAAGTGTTGGTGATGTAATTATTGTAGTGTAAACGTTGTAGGTATACTGATGTGTGTATTTTTTATCCTAAAGGACAAGGGCTCGTCCGACGAAGACTCTAACTGCCTTAAATATCTATTCGCTGACTTTCTCGGTAATTGAACAAGTCACGTAACAACGTACGTAGGTGATCTCTGTGTTGTCGGTGTCCTTTTGAGATGATATCACAAAGCTAGCCGTAGACAGTAGACGGTCCCTAGCTGCACTCTGCGCTTGATAGCTTCATATCAGACTAGTCATTAGTTCGGGAGCGGGCAGGAGAGGCGCGATCCCCCGAGCCGAGCCGAGTTAGTTTGCTGACCGATCGCCTTTCCCCAGGACAGTTAGTAGCGGCCCTGTGCCCGCACAGAGAAGCCGAGGGCCCGTCCGCCAAGCAGGTCGTCGAGCTGCCCCGCGCGCTGGGTATGCGTCCCTCCACGTCCCTCCACCTACCCGCTGACACTAACGGCTCGGGCTCGCATAGTGACTAACACAGAGATCGGAGGGTGTGGTGCGGTGGCGGACGGTGTGTGTGTGTGTTGGTTGTAGATGGAGGGTCCGGGGCCGGGGCCTGGCGCGGGCGGCGGGGCGGCGGCTGCGGGTGGCGGAGGCCGGGCGGTGAGGCGCTCGCGCTCGCAAGGTACCCGCAAACTGCACAAGTGCCTCTCCACCGCGTCCGACGTGTACGCAGCGCCCTCCGCCCCGCAGCACTCGCTGCTCACCACGCGCCAGTATTGCAGTTTTGGTAGTACAGTCACCTTGTATCGAGTCTCTCTCTCTCTCTTTCTCGGCCTCCCCTCCTTCTCGTCTGAGGCAATCGCGGATTTTTCACTTTCTTTTGTTTTAGTTTGTTTCCGTTTCTGTTCTTCGACTTTCTGATTGTTTGACAAAGTGGCTTACGCTGCGCCGGTAATGTGTCTCTCTCTCTCTCTCTCTGTCTATCACGTCATGTCTGCATCGTGCGCAGCATTTTTGAGATAAAGCTTGTGGAGCACACGGCTCGTACGTTGCCCGTTCGCGTCATCGAATGACTCAATAACGACTCGTAACGAGGTTGCCGGCGTCTTGATGCTTCTAGCGGAACATTCCGTCCGACCGCGCCAGTTTGTTGCCACAACTGACCGATCCACCTGAACATCTAAGGTTTGGTCAAACGATCGCTATTTTTAGTTTACATATTTTTTGTTCTTCCGCTGTCACTCCCATTTACTTCACTGTTTTCTTCTGCCTATATATAAAATATTAATTATACTAACTCGATAATTTCATTAAGTGTTTCTGTTTCAAATCTAATAATGGCTTACACTCCATTTCAAATTCATAAACAGTGATTGATAATGGAGCTTTTAAAAAATATAAAGATCATACAAAATCATCTTTATACAAATATATGTACATATTCATTTAAAATAATGAAATAATAGTTCAATAAACTATGTTATTTACCAATTCTATATATTTTATTTTATTCAATTAACAGTTGACATTTAAATTTACATATCTGAATTTTCAATTACAGATCGGAATCATTTGTTAGGTAATCATTGCTACTATCAAAATCGATCAGCGTTCGTTACTACATCTTTCTGTTTCATAGTTATTCCAAACCGTATAGTTAATGTCATTGGCAACTCAAACCTGGAATGAAGCATAATGTGTTGATGTGTCATCAATGTCTGTATGAACTTCTGATGTGGACTGCACTGTTGTGAGGAATTGCCTGCGGGAAAGCACCATCTAGGGCAGAGGTCACGGGACGAGCGTGTCGCTCGGTGCGCACGTCTTACGTACTCAGCCGTCACAAAGCCACCACCCTAGTTTGGAAGGCAGAGTATCTTCTGCTCAGCACTTACTGACCNCATAATGTGTTGATGTGTCATCAATGTCTGTATGAACTTCTGATGTGGACTGCACTGTTGTGAGGAATTGCCTGCGGGAAAGCACCATCTAGGGCAGAGGTCACGGGACGAGCGTGTCGCTCGGTGCGCACGTCTTACGTACTCAGCCGTCACAAAGCCACCACCCTAGTTTGGAAGGCAGAGTATCTTCTGCTCAGCATTTACTGACCTCACGTCCCCCCGCGCCCGTGTCTCCATTAACCTCACAGAGGATGTCCAAAAGTGAATGTCTTCCAACGCGGGCACTAGACGTTGCTTTCCCTCCGATCTGTTCATGCTTGTGATAGTTTGTGTTTTATTTGTCGGTACAGAACCAAGTTTACCGCAGACTATGGCGTCTATGGAGTACTTACAAATAACACAACCGAACGGTATTCTAAACAAATCATTTGCATCGTTATTTTTTTTTATTAAATTATTTTTCGGATCGTTTAGTTCCGTATGTTTATTTGTTTGTGGCTTGGTGTGGTGCCGCGTCGCCCTCACACAGTAGTCGTTGATAGAAACATTGGCTGTTGTTCCCTCCACCGGCGCACCGATACGTTGATTGCACTCGAATGTTCTGTGAGCTCGGCATGACTTCTTAGTTAAACGAAAAGGTGACTTACTACTCAAAACTATCCGTTTTATAAATCTATCGCTATTGTAATTGAAGTGGGAACGCGTATGTTATATGTGCATAATATTAACGAAGCTTTATCATGATGTATTTATGTAACCAACCGACACACGTATATTTACCATTCCTTTTCTATTACTTGTTATATCATCTGAGATGGTCTACATTTTGTGAATCACGCGCGTTCACTTTATATATTTATTTGCATTTGACGTAACATTTTTTCAGTAATTGAGTGACCAGACCTGGGCTCGGTTGATCACTGAACGCCTTCAAGTTTAATCACTTTATTTATATTATAAATATATTGTTATCTTTTTGTTTCTAGACCGACAGCAAAGCAAAAAGTTTATATGGCTCGTTATTGGCTGCCTGTACATGCCGGTGTCCTTATATCTATGTACGCTTACGGTCTTTCACTTATTAGGAGCGCACTAGCTGCATGAGTCTTTTTGTTTCTTAGACTTTATAGATTTGCAGAAGATGTCTGCCCGTCCACAACTGCTTCGTATTAGCGACGTTGTTGAGGCAGTATTCAATGAGTGAGGCTTCAACTAGTCATAGTCATAAAGTGCACTTTTTCCGTAACTAGATTCTAGACAATAAAGCTTGGTTTCTGCTGAAGACGGGACTCTTTCGGCTTGGTAACCTGGTCAAATCCTATTCATGACTCATTTACATTTGATTTAATTGCTGTTCAGTTGACAGTTCTCTTGGCATTAGTTAAAGCTTCTCATCTGCTGGGGTCACAGAGGGCTGGACATCTGCTTGTATTAAACTATGAGATTTCATTAATTTGTAAAAAGTGTTTTGACTAAGTTTCACTAAACTTGAGACGTTAACAATGGCGGATCCAGGGGGAGGGTCATGGGGGTCATGACCACCCCCTGAGCTGGGTCCAGTGTGCTTAGTGCGAGTTTTGTAACGTTCTCGATAGCGAGCCAGTTTGCTCAAATTTGTATGCAATTGGAACAGCGCCCCTAGCGGCAAACGTACCCGGTGTTATTTTGTGAGTGCGAGTTCATATTAACGTTGTGATCTCGTAACCGAGTAATTTTACCGAAATGAGTACCACGAATGACATTTGTGCGAGTGCGTGTTACAAANTTAGGTGGACCACTAATTGAATATAATGATTTTAATTATATATTTTGTCACCATACCGATTTTATGTAACTACATACCTTCAATATTTAATTAATTTAATATAATATAATAACTTTGTATAATGGCAAACGTTTGGGAACGAACGCATCTAAATTTGACTATGTGACCCCCTCCTGGCGCCAAAGCTGGATCCGCCCTTGGACGTTAATCGCGCGATAACATAATGCAGTCCTTAATCGGAACACTAATCATTGTTAACTTGAGATAACTAACACAAATGATAATAACAAATACTTTATAATGAAACGTTGTGCAAATGAGCTGAGATTGGACGGACACACAACACGGTATAAATACATTATTCAACGCATGATTACTCTTATATCCTTCTAAAGCACAAGAAGTTTCTGGCACAATAATAGTTAATTTCAGCTGATTTCACAACCGCACCAACCACGCTCCCTCCTAGAGATACAGCTAGCTTTAGTCTGCAACTATCAACAATGTAGACTAGCTAATGTTATTGGCGATTTAGAAACCAATCAAAACTAATTCCTTGAAACGTCTCGGCATTTCGCCTTTTCGCATTAAAAGTGTACAATTTCCAAAAATATTCGAAATTGAGTTAGTTAATATGCGTAAACATTTGGTATCACAAGTATTTTTCTCTTAAATACTGTCAAAAGAGTAGAAGTTTTAGTAGAAGAGTAGTTTTTTTTTTTTTATAATTTATCTATGCTCTGACTACTATTAACAAAATTAATATTATACATAATTTTATCTTAATTTAAAACACAGATAATGTAACTGGTAAAAAATCAAAAATAAATGTTGCAAATATGATTAATATTAACAATATTACATGTTAAACCTTTAAAACACTCTCCTGTAAAATTAGTATGTTCTGAGATTGTACAGTTTTAATGCGAGAAGACGATATAATGATTTATCAAAAAAAAATCATTTGCAATCCGCTCGAGCTCTTGGATAGCTCGTTGGCAAATCAATCAGGTACCTCTAGATCGCCAACTTTACGTTGAAGTCCCTCCATTACGCTGGAGAGGTTTCAGCGGATTCTTCTTTAAGCTGCGGATGCAATAACTATGATATTCTGTTACCAACCGGTCGTATAGACAAACTGGATAGTTCGTTCTCCCGGTCTCGTTCGAGCAGCATGTCAAGTCTGGAGAACATATCGCAGGAAGGCATACAGTGCCTCGCCTTCGCTGACAGCTACACGAAGAAGTCTGGTAAGAAACGGTTCTTAAATCTCCTTTAACTAAGCGAACTGTCGGCATGATATTATGTATATTGTAACTGTCTATGGCAGCGGTCGGGGAACCGGGGTAAATTACCCCAAATGGGGTAAAATGAAATTTTGGGTGCAAAAATGAGACTTTTGTGAGTAAAAAGTATATATTGAAGTGAAACTTCTTTAGAATCGTCAAATTTTTAGGTATTGTTTTCTTTTCAAAATTATCATGGGTTTTTTTTTTCCCTACCTATGCTGATAGCCTTGAGAGGCTATTTCAGCTTCGCCCTAACGTTAGTAGGTGAGCTCGCGGGGCTCAACCGGAGAGTTACTAACACTGACCCTAGCAAGAGCAGTGCTTCGCAAAATCTACCACCGGATCGGAAACGCGACCCACTGAGAAGATCCGGCGAGAATATCATGGGGGCTATTACATGAAAGATACTAAAAAGAAGCGATTTCGTTTTTTTTGTTCTTCGCCATGGGGTAATATCAACTTATAGAAAAATATTTTGGGGTAATAATTAAAAAAATTCTTCGACCGCTGGTCTATGGTATTGGAAATATTCTGATAGAGTTCGAGAAAGGAAGTAAGAGCTGGTGAACATAGCAACCTCTTAAGGAAAACATAAAGTTAAATTCTTGTACCGCCGATTATCATTTCTACAAAACTGAATTGGAAGTTAAAATAGAATACATGGTGACCATCACTAAGTCAACATCAAATATCGAAAATACACGACACGTATATCATACGACGATGTGTCTTCGGAAGAGAGTTCTCCCTACTTCCAATGCGTGTTACCTACGTACTCCCTAACGTGGGTCAACTCTGGCTATCGACTTGTTCTCATCGGCTCATGGAGTTCAACTTGCTCATCAGATCCGACTACACTACTGCCAACATTATGGATCGGCACAACATTAGGGTCCGTGCTCACCATGATGATCAGCCTGCCGGAGGCCGACCTGAGGCACACGCAGCCGGTAGTCGTCTCCACAAGTGGTAAGACTTCTCGAAAACATCCAACTTCTTTCTTTCACTGTGAAACTCGTCTTGTTAGGGTGATTTGATGATGATCATATTTGGTCAAGATTGGAACACAGCGGGCAGATGGATTCTTTATAAGATGATCATGATACAGTGAAACCATCATCCACTACTAAGCCATGAGGCTCTGGTTCAAATAATTGTCTCAAATTTTCCAAAGAAGGTCCAATCAACACTCCCAAGCATTCTCACAGACAAAATCTTAAAACTAATTGATTTTCTTTCTCTCAAAAGCCTATTAACTGTCTATAGTGTATTTCCTCCTTTTTTGGAAACAGTCAACAGTATTTGGATTCCAGTAAGTAACATTATGCGACTAATAACTACTAATCGCTTGTTTCAGGAGGTCCCATATTTAGATTAAGAGGTTCCATACTGACGATGTCATTCCTCGACTGCAATGGTGCTTTAATTCCTTATTCATATGAAAGTTGGAAAGACGACAGTAAAGATGTAAGTGTACAATATTGCACTAAACGAGCCTTGCGGTTCCACCCATATTCGATTTGTAAAACAGAAAGAAATAAACATTTTTTTTTATTTTCCCGGGTTAAAAAGCTGTTTAAGTCACTCTCTGATCCATATACTAGCGGTGGATTTATAGCTCCATTAATATACATACATACTAACAAACACTAACGCACATTTATACAAAATATCTTTGTGCGAAATTTAATTAGCATCAATCGAATTCCACCCTCACCAAATTTTACATTAATATGTAATATTAGTAAGATTGCTTGTGTACTTGATCTTGGTAGCTTTGTTAGCTTCGTTAACTCGTGTCTGACCAATTTTTACCATAGATTTGCTTATTTTTTCCTATGAAAGTTACATAGGGTTATTTATTAGTTGGCCTGGAGTTGGCGCAGTACCAGATTGCCAGTAAACTCGCCAATCAATGAAAATATTTTTAGGTTCGTGAGCGTCGGGAACGAACACCCACTAAGCAGAGTTCTTCAAGTAGTGGCAGTAGAATGAGCCCGACTCCCGGCCCCACGGAGTGCTCCTCCACAGTGGGCGACAGGCAGTTCGTAGTGATCGCCTCCGAGAAGCAGGCCAGGGTGGTGGCCTTGCCCAGTCAAAACTGTGTTTATAGACAACAAATTGTTGAAACTGATTTTATCGTTAAAGCTGAAATCGTTAGCTTGAAAGGTAATCTTATTGAACAATACTATGAATGTAATTAGATCAAATTACGTGGAATAAAGTCTGTGGGTAGATTAATTATCATTAGGTCACAGGAAGACGCTGAATTCGGGTCGCACAGGATCGGTCATTGTTGATGAACTATGGGGAGGCCTATGCCCCGCGGTGGACGTGTATGGGCTTTTGATAATGATAATGACACATCATTATTATTATTATTATTATGTTACACTGATATGGCATTTTAATTTGGAACCGATATCTCATCTGAATATTAATTGTAAATTTTCAATCGCGCCAATCTTCGTTATAGAAAAGTGAAGTGAGGTGATAAAGCGAATCAAAATCCTGGGATTCTGCGATAAGTTCCCTTTTGTTTGGCGTATATGGTTGACAATCGTTTATTTTGTTCTCCGAATTCCAGATAGTGTTTGCTTGGTCAATTACTTGTCAACCGGGCACCTGGCGGCGTACAGTCTGCCATCGCTGCGGCCTCTCATCGACGTCGACTTCCTCCCTCTCACCGAACTCAGGTAACTTTTCTCACTTGTACGTTTTTGTCACAACTCACTGAAAATTTTGCTCAGTCTTGATGTGAACACGTCAGCTTTTACGATCAATCTTTTTGGATTCATGTACAGAGCCTGTCATTTTTTTATCTCGATGACATTACGTTGCAATTAGGGTATTGATCATGTCTAGGAGCCAAATAAATTTAGGTCACCTATAATGTCCACAAGCAACTGTCAAATGCACATAAATATGGCATATCGGGCTATGAGAGAAATGAAGTGTTTACATTAAGAATGAATATTGGGAAGAGGTGAGGATGGCCCTCCCGGAGCCTGCCTGCCCCTCACTCTAGACTGTCCGGTGACACACAGACCACTATTAGATAATTTCTGTGCACAAAACTAAGGCACTAAATGATAAACGGCTTTTAGCCAAACATATCCATAAATAACCGCGCTGTTTTGTCAGAAAGCAGAGTGTTATCCAAGAGGTCGCTGTTTTTGAAACTCTACATCGGTAACATGAGAATCATCCAGCGGTTTTAGATTTTGATCATTCTGTTATTTTATCATTTGGGAGCCTAACGACAAACTTCCTGTACAGTGTCGATGTTAGAAATACTTGTTTGATGTGGGACTCCGCTCTGAGCGACACGGCGCTCTCTCGGTGTAACTCTGGGTTTTTTTCGTTAAAATTTCTTAGGATCGGAGTTTCGTACCAAACAAGCAACGGTGTAACTTCCTACTCGGAATTGTCGGCAGCACTCAGCCACTAGAAGCTAATTCGTGCTATTTCTGATCACAAAGTAGACAAAATTTTTGCAATTCTATCGAGCACCACCTGTGCTTCCAATATTTGGCACTCTTTCTATTTTTTTCAGTATTATTAATAACCGATTGGCAATCGCCTTGACACACACTATTGATTCCAATATGACAGTTGACACCGTTCCCATGTTTCTAACTATACATTAAAGGCGCTGCATTACTGTATATTATACACCAAGCCTCTCACCACACTTGATAACCCGACGAACAAGATAGAATGCTTGAAACTGAATTTCCCGTTCTGTGCTAATGCCGTCTTCAGCGACCGATAGTCTGTATCCTGCATTAAACTCTTACTGACCGATCACATAGAACATTATTTATTTGTTTAACGACTTTTACTTTGTCTTCTGCAGGGTAGTTTTCACTGTTTCTTTGATTTCTTTATAAATCTTAACACGATAATACTTTGTCAAATACGAATGGAAAGGTACCCTGTAGCTAAAGACATCGCATTGGTCGTGAGCGGCTCGCAACGAGCTGACCGGTATATATGTTCCGGTAGCTTCCAGACACAGTCCAAACAGAGGGGTATCGTAGACCCAATGCTGAGTATTTGGGGCCAACAGCTCATTGTAAACGAGGACACCGATCAGTAAGTCTGCGAGGCGGATGCCCACGCTAGGTGCTGCCATGCTCTGTGGAGTCGCTCGCTCCTCTGTTGCATACGTTTATAGACCATATTTATTCGTTGTCCGATTTATTGAATGCTTTGGTTAGACCCCCATAATATCTGTTCTGTTCCGAGTGATGAAACGGACGTGGGCAAATCGAAGAATCCTATTCTAAACTCAATATTGTACAAATAAATTAGGAATGAAAAATAATACCGACAGTACATACCCATTGTTGTTAAAAAAAAAATATTAAAATTTTGTTAAACTATTGTATAAATTAAATGCAAAAATACTAACCTCAAAATTTTAAACCTAAAAAGGAAACTCGACTAAAACGAATACAAATTGTTAAGATAAATATTGAGTGCATTCGTGATTTGCCCCGGCCTCTCCCCCGCTTGCAACCCCGCTTCTATAGTCCACTGTCTACACCCGACTGTTGTATCCACACGAACACACACGTCCACCACACCCGACACCTCGTCACATACTACAACTACTGTATCTTTTAAACTCTTGCTGTTCTGCTGTTATCCGCGATACTTTCTACGCTCAAGCATGGCCGCTTTGGAATTTTGAACTGAATTTCTCTTTCGTTTCACATTTTGCAGCTCATAATAATAATAAATGTTAGTCATGCTTTTTGTTAGACGATTTACCTTTTAGACATCAAATGAGGATGCCGGATCTTTGAGGTGAGATATTTGCCAGTATTAATCTCTGTACTTGCCTTCACTTCTGTCACTTCTGAAGACTTCCGAATTTTCGTTCTTCGATGAAAATTTCCGTTCTATTCTTCTATCTGAAACAGGTCAAAATAAAGAGTAATCTATTCTTTTCATAATTCTAAATTGATATGTACCGGCGTTAATGAGTGATCTGGTGGAATTTCAGGATAGCGAAGACGTTCTGCTTCAGTAACCGCGGGCACGGCCTGTACCTGGCTTCGCCTTCCGAAATACAGAAGTTCACGATCGACGCTGAGTTCTGGTGAGTTTTATTATAACACAAGCGGCGCGCTCCGGCTTCGCTCGGGTCTTTAACAAAAATTTCAGCGACGTTGTTTTATTTTTTAAAATAAAAGAACACTTATTACGGTATAGTGTAGCTTCCAAACAGTGAAAGAATTTTTCAAATCGGTTCAGTAGTTTCGGAGCCTAATCAATACAAACAAACAAACAAATCTTTCCTCTTTATAATATTAGTATATAAGTAGATTGCCAACGAGTTCTCCACAAAGATAGAAAAAAAATATTGGAAAGAATGTTTAGCTCTCAATCACACATTGCAACTATTTTTCAGAATTAAGGTATCCAATGTATTTAAAATTCTTTTCTTCCTTGTTTCTCGCAATCTTTTAAAGATTTTATTTTCTACTTACCTTCTTACAGCACAAATAATTTAGAAATCTTGAAATTGACTCTTGGATATATAATATACATATTATTTGAATGTATTTTTTATTTCCAGCCAACAATTGAACGAAATGTTGGGAGAAGTATTCTTGGCGCGCGACATGCCGGAGCCGCCGAAGGAGAGCTTCTTCAGGGGACTTTTCGGTGGAGGAGCGAGACCTCTTGATCGAGAGGAGCTTTGTAAGGATTTCACTAGTCCACCTCAACAATGACGGAAAGGCTGGTTTCATGGTGATCTGAAAGTGATGATGTCAACGTCGCTGACGCCATTTTCTTCATCATTCTTATTACCTTCCATAGTGACAGAAATTAAGACTCAATGAATTTCATTTGTTACACTTCAAGTGTACAACGATAACAACAGAGTGCTCCGCTCCGTTCGACTGTTCGAGCTGGAATGCTTTGTGCGACAATTATTAGTAGAAAGTGGGGGTAGCTTAGTCATGAATTCTCTTGAATACCGTTTTAAACGGTTGTGGACATGCGTAATATTAAAGAAACAGTTAACTTTAACTATTTTTATTTTAGTTAAGTAAACAGTGACGTTCCGCCGTCATATATTGTATATAGTTAGAGTTAGATAATAGTTGTTGACAATAGTTTTATATGCACAACCTTACGAGCTATGGACCAGCACATCAGCCTGAACCCTACCGAACGACGGCTCCCCCAGACTTCCTAAAGTGCAGTGCGTGTCCAGACAGCGCAGAGTTGACGTGCGTCTCTTGCGTACGATATTATAATCAAACTATACTAATTTTTATCAAATGACAGAAACGGATAAAAGTTGTCATATTTTTAATGTGATCACAGTTGGCAACACCTTCAGAGAAATGAGATTTTAAGGCCAACCTAATATTAAAATTAAAGCAAGACAAAATTTCAGTCGGGGAAAGCAGTGGAAAGGCCAGTCGCACCGTCGCCAAGCACATCCCGGGGCCAGCCTCAGGCTTGGACCAGCTCGGAGTCCGGGCCTCCACCGCTGCCAGCGAGGTCTCGCGCGCTCACCAGATGGTTGTGGAGCGCGGAGACAAGTTGTCGCAGCTCGAGGACCGCACCGAGCGAATGCACTCGCAGGCCGCCGAGTTCTCCTCCTCCGCGCACCAGCTCATGCTCAAGTACAAGGACAAGAAATGGTACCAGCTGTGAAGCGTCCCACGGACCCCCGTCGCGGTTTTGTACATGTCTGTATGTATAGTATAGATAAAGTAGTAAAACGAGTAGCAGTTTAGTGACGTAACTTTTCTATCGATGCTGCACTGTCGGCTCTAGGTGCTGACCTCATGAATTTTCTCGGAGGCCGATATCCGGTCGCGTCCTTTAGAGCTTAGCTGTCGAAGTAGTCGTCGTATGGAGTGTTCGTGTAGACGCGACGAACGAACGCACAAATCGGTATCAGCAGCGAGCGTAGTGACCCGCTTCTCCGCGATCAGTCCTTCAATTATTTCTGTGCCTAGGCAAGTCTAGATTTCTTCATCAAACACGATTCCTTTGTTGTTTCGACAGCTTTACCGTCGCAGTGGACACAGTTACCATTTTTATATAAAAATATCGATAGTTGTATCTGTACTTTCGACGATGTTTTCAAAAGTTTTATTTAACTTTGATTACATTGGGAAAAATTAAAAATTTCTTAAATTTATTATTCGTGTAACTATTATTTCTATGACATAATAATTGGGAATTGTTTTTACAATCTCTCCCCTGTATACTTTCAATATACACAAAACATTTCCAGTCTAACTAAATCTGCGACAACTAGGAAATGTCGACAATGTTTTTGACATCGGGTCGTTCACTGCAAATGTCAATGTCACAATGACAGATACATTCGTTCCGTCGATGACGTGATACTAATGTATTTGTTGATGTAGTGAAAATTCGTTCGCTAATTTTCTTACTACGTTAATTAAAACTACTTTGATGGTGTAGACTTAAGATTATAACAAGGTCATTTTCATTTTATATTATCCAACGTTTGAAATCGGATGACCAAGATCTTACTTGTCCATAATATATAATGTTTATTGACAAGTTTGGCAGATTGTTCAACTTGGTCGCTCATATACACGATATAGAAACCCAGGCGTTTCAGAAGCGCTAACTATGTTCTTAATCAAAATTAGGGTCGTGTCAATGACCTACGTGGATTTGATTTAATTTCGTTTTGCAAGTATGTATTTGCAATTTGGTAAATTTTATAAAATGGTTGACTCCACTGTCGAGATCTTTTAGACAAACTGCAGGTTTGTGTACTCGATTCTTCCTGACATACACTATTCTAAACCGGTCCTTTTCTTTAACTGAAATTGTAAGCCGTACAAGTACTTTTGATTGTCTACGATCACAAAGTAAGAGAATTCCTAATGCCTTAATATTCCTTCACGTTACTTACTAATATGTGATACGTGCATCGTTAAAATAACTGAATACCTCTAGAAACTCTCTCGCATTCCGTCGTCTTTAAAGTCAACATGAATTTTAAAAATAGTTTTGAGGTTTCATTAATTCATAATTTTTACTTTTTCTTTTTTAATAGATATTGTGACCATACCAGTATAAAAAAGGAGTCGATCACAAATAAATAGTAATAAGCACCCAAAGTCACTCTCGGTCCGTCCGTGTTGCACCCGCGCGTCATGACACTCACGCGAGTTCGCATCCCACTCCCAGCCGCGGCCGACCGACTGGGAATTGAAAACTGTCTAAACAATAAATAAATAAATAAAAATTTGAGTTTGTTACCAACATCAACAGCAAACTAGATGACCTCCTAAACAGTTGGAACATAATTTCTAAGCGTGCGGGATGTGAGGGAGATTCACTTCTTCTGCTTTAGATGAAGGTATTTTGACATGTGGCCAGGCCAATACTAATTTTATTATCTTTATCCATCGTAGGCTGCATTTAATTTATATTCCAATAAATGGATAATGTGAATTTTAGTACCTTTTTGCGTAAAATTGAGATTATTTAAATGTTGCTACTTATTAATAATTTGTAGATTTAAATGAGATAGATGCAAAATACTAAACAATATTATATGAGTCAACTACGACATGCTATGGTGATCTGTATAAAGTATTAAATTAATATATAAAATAGATAAATGTAATATTATATTATATTATATAGTTGAAATTTTAAGCATTGGATGACAATAATTTTGTTAAAGTTATTTCTCAGTTGTGTGTTAGTGTCGTGCCGTTTCGGTACATTTGTTTTTCTTTTCATGCGGAAGTTTTATTTTTATTGCATTTTTATTATTATACTTATTTTATGTACGTAATTAAACTTTTCATTCTTAATTAGAAATGATTTAATATACTTATTCTCAATTTAAAAGCAACATTTTGAATCGCCTTATTATAAAAGCAATATTGAATTCGGGTTGCAAGCCTAAACAAGACCAATCGTTGTTGTGTCGGTGTTGCTAGCGCTAAATGTATAAATGACGCGTTAAATATTGTAAACTACTAAACGCTATTTGTATATCGCTGTGTATTTTAAGGTAATAGCAGAGATACTCGTTAAAATATTTTTATGACCTTCAGTCGGCTCAGTCTGAGCAACTTTATTATTTCAACAAATATTGTCAGTTCGATTTATTTGCGAAGCCAATGGTTTCAGTGTTCCAAGGGATCCGCCTTTAGCTCGTAGGCAGAGCTAATGAAGCTGTGACTTGGGAATTAAATATTTCTACTTTAGGCATATTTTCTTATTTTGGTTAGTTTTTAGCTTCCATCATGACGAGCATGCGACACGGTAATGAAGACTTTTTTCAGAAGATTCGAGAACTATTTCAATGAGTTTCATCTGCTCATAATAATGATATCCTGTAGAGTACAGAGTGTGCCGGGCGATCTCTCTGCTTCTTTACAGCCAGTTCCTTACGTTACGTTTATTGTTTACTCTATATTTACGTCCAATGTTAATTATTCGCTAAACCTAATAAGTCTATAAGTTTTTAGCTTGATTTACATACCGTAGACTGGCTAGTTCTGTAAATTCGCAAATATTTGAAACATTTTGAAAATAGCTTTTAACATATTTATTTTTGATAAATAATTCCAAAGGTTAGTTCTAAAAGTTGATATGCAGTAAAATGACTAATGGATCATAATGTATCCGTTCTTGTTAGTCAAAGATTAGGGTCACTGAAGAAACTGGGTGGTAACGTTGAAAAATGTAAAGAGAAATAATTTACACAATCGCACCTCTAGAACTTATCTGACACAGTTGAAAATGTTGCTATTTGCGAACGGATACTTCGAGAATGTGCGTTTACAATATAACACAACAGAAACATTACTTATTTAGTGGTGGTGATGGTACAGACATTCCGACTACTAGGTACCAGTACTCTGCCCAATCCTAGAACCAACCATGCGTACCGCATGAAAGGTACCGCACTGGCTCTCTCGATGCTAATAAAATATAATATCTATGAAAATTGAAAGATTACGAAATTATAATAGATAGCAGTTTTAAAATTTGTTGATGTTATGTAAACTGTAGAATGTTAATGTGTCACTTCGATCCAAATATAGGTGTCGACGAATTGTCTATACCTAAATGATTGCCAACTAATAAATATCGCGGACTACTAAGTAACTGACATAAACAAGGCAGTCATTAACGGCACGTTTCAATTAATTGAGTTATCTATACAAATGCAATACTTAGATTTAAAAAAAAAGTGTTTCAATAAATGTTAAAATAATGTCTAAATACGTATATATATATTATTGTTACTGTTTTGTATGTAGGGGCGATAGATAGTTATGTTTAGGCAGACTTTTTTATAAATTATCGGGAGACACAGAAATTTTGTTACGATGTCCACCTGTTGTTTTAATCGATGTTATATTTTCGTAGCTATTTACAATTTTAGCTGTTGAAAAACCTGTTTGAGGCATGTCTCGGATTTTTATAGATTTTAAAAAGTGTATAAAATATTACGTCTATTATGATAGAACACAGTGCTAATTGTGTTTATCGAACAAGAAGTCTCAAACACAGTACTTCAAAATAAATTGTAACATGAGTAGTAAAATGTTTAATTTATGAAATCACAAGATGCACCTACGTAACAAAACTAAAATTCGCCAATGTATTTTTACTTTTTCTAATTTATGTATGTATGTATATATCTTAATGCGCTTTTATATGTAAAATCACACGAAACGTACACCGAGAAATTGTGACTATCATAACAATAAAATTAACACATTTTAATTTAATTCTCTTTTCCGAACTTGTCTCAAACTAGGAAAAATTTTAACAAAAAAAAATTTAAATATTTCTTTAAACATTTTGCTGTACATGATGGGGCCGTATCTCGGTGGCATATCAATGGATATATCATAATGTTATCACGTACCAACTACACGAGGATAAATATATACGTATACTTTTGAGAAACGGCTTACCATGGTCTCTATGGTCCCTTACGATAAATTAGTGAATAAATAATGCATTCCATTTTCACATTGTCACACTATTGACTCATTCTCTTTTCTGTAAGGAATTAACATTAACCAAATGTCTGCCCCGTCTCCTTCTCTCGCAAGTTCATTCAATACTTCACTCTGGTGCATAGTTACGAATATATTTTATTATATATTTTATAAGCAGAGTTCTACGATATCGTTAAAGTGCAATAAGCGTTGTTTATCAATCGTCTAGTCTGTCCTTCCAGTCCCAACTCACCTCATAGTATACAAATATTATTACTATAATATTAAAAAGCATCAAGTTAAGTTTTGTTTGATTCTATCGTTGTTATTGTTGAAGTCACGTTGCTATGTAAGTTATAATCATTTACGTTTCCATAAATGCAATTAATAATAATAGATTAATGGGGATGTGCTAATAATTTCTAAATTACATCATTTCATTGACTGGCACGTTCCCGACGGAATCTAAAGCAAATGCTAAATTAATTTTGAAATTATGGGACTAACGTAATAATAATAAGATATGTAAATAAAGTTATAAAGAGAAAAAACTTGTGGCAAATTAATGATTGTTATCTAAAGTAGAATCATTTCAGCGCCATTTTGTATCGACTTCAGAACGTTTCCTAGCGTCGCCACAGCGGCCACTATACAGACTGTACATAATATGGAAGCTGTTGGACTATATTATTTAGTTTGGTAGATGAATATTATAGTCATTACAATATATAAATAAATTATAAAAATATTAAAAATAAACTTATATCAAAATGTACTCTTGTTTTATTTAATTAAAATGATCAAATTTTTGGTTATCCCAAACATAAAGGTAAGTCACGACTTTAGCAATATCAGGGGCAGCGCAGCCTACCGTTAAATACTCTCCACAAGCCTTGTTTGAAGGACATATCATAGCGCTCGAGAAACACCGTGGAGGGGAGTTCATTCCAAAGCCGGATGATACGTGTCAGAAAAAATTTCTTGAAGCGCACTGTGGATGAACGCAGTGGCTCCAACTAGTATGGATGAACTACTCTGGTGGAGAGTGGTTCGACTCCTCAGAACATAGGGTGAATAGAGTGTACAAAATAAAACAACATATTGAGCAACTTTTTTTAATAAACCTATTGTATGATAATAATACAATAACGAATATTGAATATTTCGCGTGCGTTTGGGCGCTAGAATCACTGCGGCTTTTAATAATCTCAGATATAACCTAAGGAGTGCATTGCAATTTTCACATTGTGTTTTTGTATTAATTTTCTTTCTAGGTATAACCACGCTTAATAATATTGAAACTTAACTGAGTTTGTACATCTACAACAACAACTAACAAAGTTCTAACCGGTAAACGAGCGTTATCTACTTAAAATCATTATGCCACATATACCTACATTACTATCTCATTCAAACCAAAGTGTGATCATTCTTACACTATTTCTTGTCTAAGCGCCTAGGCTCAAAAGGCACGTTACTCGTTAAAGGCGACAAGGCATTATGCGCCTTAATGCGACCAGATTTACTAATAAAATTACAAGTATGATATACGTACATACATATACTCAATGTTTATAACGTGATCATCTATCACGATCAAATATTTAAAACCAACATATTTAATCAGGCTATATCTCAAGTTCAAGAGCGAGTCATTCATTTACTCTTTCCAACAAACGGAGTCGCCGTTCATCCAATTAGGTGATTTATAATTTGAACTACAAAACCCATCCTAAGCGGTAGGCAGCGGCTTGGGTCTGCCCCTGGCATTGCTGAAGTCCATGGGCGACGGTAACCACTCACCATCAGATGGGCCGTATGCTCGTCTGCCTACAAGGACAATAAAAAAAACTAGTTTAATACAAGATGAATATTGAAAACACGAGTGAATAATTAGTGCTTCATTCAGTTCACTGATATGAGCACTTCAATTAGTAATTATGTTGATAGAATTACTACTTATTACTACTACTAAGAGGATTGTTTCTATGCGAAGAGAAAGTTTGTACTTAGCAGACTGTTGCAACCCATACGGGAATCTCAAACAACGCAGCCATTAGTATCAGTATCATATCAGTATCAGTTATTTGAGTAGAGCGAAGTCTTGTGCTCGAAGTGACTAACAGTAATAAAATCGTAAATTGTACATTTATATTTTATAATTAAATACTTTCATTTTGTTTTTGTTAATAGTCAACATTACTTCCAGTGAACTGACAGTCCTTCCACACCGAACAGATAGAGAATGTAGTTACTGAACAAGCAGACCCTTAACTAAGAATGAAGAGTCAAAATTTGTTTGTTTGTGCACCGTGTCGTACCGGTAATACCAGAAGAATAGTGCCACTAAATGAATCACAAAAGAAAATATCTTATACATTTAGTTATAGTTTACAATAACTTTATGAGTAACCGGTGCATGTATCACACGCCATGTAATGATCAAAACTCCCACTCTTCTAGCAAAACTTGAAAGGCTTTAAGACCACCACTTATAATTCCTTTCTAAAAAATAAAATAAAATGCGTCTTATGCACGAGTTCATAGACCTTTGGTTTAGGTTCAGATTTTCCTAAATATTATTTTGCTAGATATCGATAAGTTCAACTTAGTAATTGAATAATTTTCCAATTTTTTTGAGGTAGAATTTCTGCTGAACTTCAGGATTAAATATGCATTGGTTAGGTTGAGTAAGTGTTATCTTTTAAACCAATAGACCATAATAAAATTACTTCATCGTGGCAACACGAATTTTGGTATTTTTTTAGGACACATAAATTTAAATCATAAATTTGAAAGCGTTTTGTTCGAAGCGAAACCAGGAGATTCTAAAAATAATGTAATTCAATCTCTAGTATTCTTCTTGATTCCAAATTGAATGGGACTGAAGCAAATGTCTTGTAGATGAACTAATTGTGTTGAGTCTGGGAGCGGCGACAAGCGGAACTCCACTGGGACAGTTGTTGACTTCCTGAAGATAACTACCAATCCAAAACTACAAATATTTTAATATGTATTTTCAGACTATACTTACTATACTTACTATACGTTACTATACTTGAGACCTTAGAACTTGTATCTCAAGGTGGGTGGCGCATTTACGTTGTGGATGTCTATGGGCTCCAGTAACCACTTAACATCAGGTGGGCTGTGAGCTCGTCCACCCATCTAAGCAATAAAAAAAAAAAAAAAAAAAAAAGACGTATATATTAAGATTGACCATTTCAATATTATTAACTAAAAAAAACGCACAAAAGACGGTAGCTATATAGGTTTATTATAATACAAAAACTTATCACAAATTCGCTGTTAAATCTTACAATACACAGCGCGAACGAACAACACGCGCTTTGTACAAACATTCATATATTTCACTACAAAGAAACAATAATGGATGAAGCCACAGCAGCTCTACCGAGAGTGACCGGGAGTGTGCGGAGGAGGGCGGGGCCTCAACAATCGGAGAATTCGGACTGCGGGGCAACAGCTGCAGTATTGATGTTCATAAGCGACAATGAACACTCAACGTCAAGCGGGCCGTGGTCTCGTGTTCGAAGCCATTAAAATGGTTAGGAAATCTAATTTGAAAACGTATGAATCCGATGCTGACGGAAACTTCTGAACTAAATGAATATGCAATTTCGAAAAGGACACATCTCTGAAAATGTAAAATGTTCAGGAAATTAAAAAAACTAATTATTTTCTAAAGCAGTGTAAAATTTAAAATATTAACTTTTGAGGTATAATTTAGTGTTAATTAGCAATTGAAAATTACTGGAATTATTATAAAATGGGTAAGGTAGGTAAGCCTCAAAACTACATGTATATGAAAAAACGTATTTGACAAAATATGCGACATGTGCACTTTTAGAAATTGCATTTTCAAATGTATTATAACTCATATCCGTTTCTAAGCAGCGCCCGCGCACGTCCGCCACTCCCCGAGCGACGGCGACAAGCTCGTCGCGGTTCGTTCTCGACAATCTGACGTTCACCGGACCGGAGCCGGACCGAAACCGGACCGGAGCCGTGGATGCGGTTCCAATTATAAATTTGAAATTAAATTTTGTACCAGCTTTATAATTTATATTTAATTGAATTTATAGTGTTGTTTTTTTTTACATCTAACAGAAATTAGAGACTAGCCTTGAAATGATTTTTGAATGAAAAATGAAATATTTGGCTAATGTTTAATTGTTCACTTAACAAATTGTAGGCGGTCTAGCAATATGCAGCAATGTGCAGAACACGGCGACACAGACACGACGTAATTGTTGACAGTTGGGTCCGTCGTTTGTGACGATAGAGTCGCGGAACATCTGGGCGCAGGTCTCAGTGAATATAGCTCGTAAGCTCGCACTTGCACTCGCACTCGCACTCGCACTGATTACGTCATGCGCTACATACTTAGTGCAACTAGATCCAAAGTGTATAAACGTAAGCTACGATATGGCTTCACAATATGTCTGGGGGCGCACTATATGTGTGCACAATGTGTGTCCATTTCATATGAATGCCCAATTCAATTCATACTGATTACATGTGCGCACATTTCCTTAGTTATCAATTAATAAATTGTTTTAAAACTTCATATTCGCCTAGACGATCCGTTACCGGCATTTGATCCAAATAAACAAAATAATATTTGCTATAAGTCGAAGTGAAGAAGTCGCGACCGACACGGACATGTATAATAAGTACAACTGAATTATGCGTAACGAAACCTTACGAATTAATAAAACATTCGCGACCTGTGAATACATCAGGGACGTGCCCCGCGGTCCTCCGCCGGCGTGACGTCACGGGGGGCCGGGGGCGGGGCGCGGGGACCGGGGGGACCGGCTCGCTATTCAGCTGATCACTTTTAACGACTACCCTCGATGATATTTAAACTTATTCATAAAATAATTTTAATTACATTTTAAAAAGTTTTCAATCCAAGGAGCACTCGCCCCGTTCTGAATACGTCCGTGTCGGGCTCGTGTCGGCTTCTATAAAAATACGTCCCTAGACTCGATAACTCGATTTGAACACTTTTATACTAAGCATATTTAAGGCAACGTAGTCACGAGACGAAAACGTTTCAAATAATCACATTATCAATTTCAAAACGACCTCTATCTCCCTCTCTCTCTCTTTCTCGCCAATCGTCGTCCGCTGAGATAGAGAGAGACAAGCTGATTGAGGTGGAATGGTGGCGAGCGGCCGCGGTCGTGTAGCTCTAAATCAATCACGATTATTTCTATGCAATGCAATTATGTTTCTAAAACATTTTGAAACAAGACGTCGCCTTTTAAATAATGGGAACGGATATTATCAATAATAATAGATATGTCATCCTGAACAAATAGACGTATCATTAACAATAAGTATGTTTCGAAAAGAAAACGAACCTAAAGAACAATTGTCACGTTTCTTGATTACCTACTTTTTTTTTAAATGGCTCACACGGATCTGGATTTATAACAAATTTGAGATTTTTTAAAATTATAACAATAACTAAAAGTACTCTTTCTATTACGATCACAGTGAGTATTTCAATTTAATTTATCTACGGGCTCATAGCACTATTCTCAATAGCGGCCGCCGCTGTGGTCCCGGGGCCCGCATGGGGGCGCGGTCACCGGCTGCGAGCGCCCGGGGGGCTTCGTAACTCATTATCGCAATTCAAGAGCTCCCTTTCACCTTCATTAAAGTTAGACATCAGAGCCATTAAGTCGAATCTAGGAGATTTAGAATTTATTATATCTGAGGACGAATCACACAGAAATATGTCTGTATACGTTGTACAGTCTGTTACAGGGACGGGCGGGGGACAGGTGGGGGACAGGTAGGGAACAGATGGGGGACATGAGGGGGACGGGCGTGGGACAGGTGAGGGACAATTCGGGACAGATACATCCGACCCTATAGCTCTGATGTCTGTTTAAAAATATCCTCAACCTAACGTTGCTAGTTCGTTAACAAAATATACAAACATGAATAGTTTAACTAAGAACAGTGCGGGAGACGGTCGCTCCGGTGTCGTCCGGCCGCTGTGAGGCTCTGTCGGGGACCGCTCGTCATATTCGAGTTGGAACCTGCGGCCCCTGGACTCGCGAGACCCCCTAGACCTCAGTCCGAAGCCCCCGTCCGTTCCTTCCTCGAGGCGTTACTGAGTCGGGGCACGAGGCAACAACGATGTTTTGTGATTTCTAATGAATTAGAATTAAATATGTACAACGGGGAGGGGGCGGAGGGAAGTGGAGGGGTGAGATCAGCTGGTGGGGGGGTCGGGCAGGTTGAACGCGGGGTCCAGGTTGGCGTTGACGATGTTGGCGATGGCGTCCGGGGTCATGCCACTCATGGCCGTCAGCAGGTTGTTCGCCAGTTCGGCCGTCGACGCTTCGTCCAGACTCTTGTCCGCCTCGAGCTTCAGATCCCGAATGCCGGTCTCTAGTTTTGTTGCGGGTTCCTCTGTGGAGAACAAATAAACTACATAAAGACAGGACCGCGGACAGCTCTGCTCTGTCGAGTTGCGCGCGTAGGGCCGACCGAGCATGCAACTCACCGGCGGGCACGGCGGCGGGAGCGGTGGCGGGCGCGGGAGCGGGCGCGGTGGCGTCGCCGTACGCCCAGAACGCGGAGAGGTCGCTCGAGGCGGAGGGCGCGTCGAACTGAGCCCAGCCCTCCCCGGCGCCTCCGACCGTCCCCGCGGCGCCCCCGCCCGTACCCCCTGTCGACTCCCACGCTGCGACGAACCAACAACAAATGTATTGCTTAACATCTGTATGCAATACTATACAAGAACAAATATGCAAATTCGATAAATATTTTAACATTAAACAGCACAGTGAATAGTGAGTAAGGTAAAATCAAGTTTTCGTTAACGGACAATCGACTTCAAGTAAATTATTTAAGAAGCAAATATGTGTATTCAGAATAAAGCTTATATAAGTGAAAGAGAAATATTTTTCCATTCTCCCTAAAAATATCATTTGAAATTATTGATAATTATAATAAAGGGGACACTAAAATTGACTTAAAGTGACCGTGAGGCGGACTCACGCGAGCAGTCCCGGAGCACGTCGATGGCGCGGCCCGGGGGCGCCTCCAGCTCGGCGTCTCCGTCGGGGGCGTCGTCCCACATGCTGGGAACGGAAATAGCTCAATTCGTACAGCTCGCACGCGCGTTGTCGCGGCTTATTAACTAAGCGCTGGCACGTGTGCGCCGTGTCTGTACATTTTTATATCTATTCACTGCGTAAATCCGCGCACACATCTTTATATTCTGTTTCGTCACCTCTCCTACAGCTTCCTTCAGAAAGGTTGAGTCGCAGTACCCGGGGAGGAGTGGGGGGTTCCCTGTGGAGTGGCCGCCACAAACGGAGCGACCATCAGTCTTCAGAATTATAAGGCTTGTTTTTAACAAGTTCGAGAAGAATTTTGGGAAAGTTTCGACTGGTACCAGAGGTCCAAGCGCCCTGGGGGGAGGGCGCGCGCGGGGGCCGCGGGTACTCACTCGTCGTCGAAGCGCCGCCCGGCTAGCTGCAGGAAGTTGCTCCTGGCCGCTGACATCTGCTCGCGGGGAAACGATCATTATTAATTGATTCCAACTCTAAATTTAAACTACATTTTTTTAATTTAATAAGTCTTGTGATGTATTAGGGCCGCCACATTTTGTAGCGGATTCGGCGCTGCAGGGGAGTGGTCCCCCCGTGACGACAGCTCTGACGGCCTTCGTATCAACAGTCAACCCAGAATTGAACGATATTCATTTTGCAAACAAACACAAGCTACAGAAATAGAATGCGGACAGTACCGCGAGCGTCCCCGGCCTACGCAGGCGCAAGAGGAGCGTCTATTACCTCGTCCCCGGATTCGTCCCCCCGGTCCTCGGCGAGGGTCCCGGAGGCGGCGGCGTGCGCGCTCGCCGTGCTGATCTGTCGGTAAACAAATTGTTCATTAATTACACACGCTCACGTCACTGGCAACTCGTACGAACAAAATTAAATAATAAATATAAAGATGTTTTCTAAGCAATGATTTTTCAGTTCATGATTGTCTAAATAATTTAACTTTATACAAAAAAGATAAACATTTATAAACACAGCAAGCAGCTCAGCTCGTCCCCTCGGTCCCCTCATGGGGTCAGGGAGGACGCGCGCTGCGTCGCCGGGCGGGGGGCGGGGCGGGGGCGGGGGCAGGGCGGGGCGTCTCCCGCCTGTCTGCTGTCGGAGTCGAGAGTCAATCGATATACGGTCCATGTGTGAGTTCGATCTCGTCCCTCAAGGCGAGCGTTGAGTTTGACATTGTGGTGCCTGTGGATTCCTGCGATAATTGGACGCCAGGACGTTTATGCAAAAATTAAAAAATAATGCGCCGAGAGGTCTTCGAAGTACACGTGCCGCGGAGAAGGGGGCTCGAAGAGGTTCGGGAGGCGACCGCAGCCGGCGCCCCCCGACGGTACTCACGTCGTAGTTATCCGCCGGGTCCACCATGTTCTCGACCTGCGGACAGACCACGCCGCGCTGTACTATTGCTCTCGTGTGAAGTGGAACTCTGCGGGTCCGGGTGTGCGCAGGGACTATTCATTTCAACGACACAATTTGCTTTTAAATGAACCGTTACAGTTACGTCTACTTTTGTGTAAAATGAATAGTTACCTCAAAGGAGTGCTCCGACGGGTAGTAGCCGCCCTGCAAACACAAGCACAACGTATTTAACAATGTGATATTACACCGCCGCGCGCTCGAAAGCTCAGCGTCTCGTTGTTATTGAGAGATATGTTTTTGTAGCGAGCAGTAGTGGCCGGCGCTAGCAAGGCGCCGCCGCGGGTAGATAGGGGGACATGCAGTCTTGTGTATTTAGATTATCATGCAGTATCGGTTGACGGCAGGAATAGACAGGGCGGTGACAAGAAGACCCTTCGTTTTGCCTCGAAGGCTCTGTCGGGTGTTTCGACTTTGGGGTGAACCCGCAGGACAATTCGGACACAACAATACTACTAAAATGTTAGTTATGTGTTGAGTGTGCATAGTGGAGTGTGGCGGGGCACGTACGAGCGGCGTCTCGTGCACGTCGAGAAGCGGCTGCAGCTTGTCGCGGTGGAAGCGCGCCCAGCGCTCCGCCCAGCGGGGGCCCCCCGCCGTCCCCGCCGCGCCCCCCGCGCCCCGCGCCGCCTGCAGCGTCTCCGGAGCCACCCGCGCCACTCGCGACAAGCACAGCACCACGTGGCCCATGTACCCGCGCCGGGGGACCCTGCGGCAAACAGCTGCGCGTTACTGCGTACTCTGTTAACTAAACTAAACCATCGTAGTGTGTGTAGCAGTTCACACGTCTGCTTGCTGAACTATTGATCGTGGATTCGAATCCTACTTCCGACAAGTGTGACGAACAGGGCCCATCGTCTGTCTGTCATATCTAATATTTATCTATCTAACGGTAAGCAGCGGCTTGGCTCTGACCCTGGCATTGCTGAAATCCATGGGCTGAAAACCACTCACCATCAGGTGCGCTGTGTGCTCGTCTGCCTACACGGGTAATAAAAAAAATAATATAATATCTATCTATAACGTGTATTGAAACGTATATCCGCGTGTGTATCAGTCTCTGGGTCCACTTGGGGGACAGATGTCCGGGTGCGACTTGTCCCCGGCTACTGGTATGTGCCCGGGCGCGGCTGCCCTCGCACAACATGGCCGGTCGCTGTTCCAATATCCACTTACTCTCTATTTTCGTTCTCCTCAAAGGCATCCATCAGTCTCGTCACCAGGTTACATTCTTCGAATAACTGAAATTAGTAAAAGTTTTTTAAAAAAATTGAATTTTAATTAATTATACATGTTCTTGGGGGGTATTCCCAATATTTTTGGGTTGAATATACAAAGCATATTTGTGTACATTATTGGCAGTAGATGGCATCGTGGCCACGCACGGGGACCAGCATGTTCCATACAACTATCAATGATTTTACAAAAGTTTTTCAGTTTTTATTCATTATGAGGGAACAACATTTTGAGTTGAGCACTTGGAATTAGCAGTAAACTCTGATATAACCCAATAATGATACATTATTGAGGTAGCCACAATATCAGGTACAGAACCAACCTCCGACACTTTACAGATGAATTTGACTGAGCAACCAATGGTGTATATCAATAAAGACACTTTTCAATAAACAATCACTCAATGTACCAACAAAAATCATTTGTGACTGGACGCAGCCCGCCCGTGAACAATGATGATTTCAATACAAATGTGATCAACCTGATGTATTAGGATTTACAAGGATTCACGGGAGGAATTAAAAATTTACATATTGTTAAATTATAATAATAAAATACAGACTTAAAAAATATTAGTTACTTTCTAACTTTAATATTCATCAGGGATTTTATGCTTTCTGCAGAGAAAATGCTATTATAAATTTTTAAGGGTTTAACAACAAACGGAAGATCTTCCACCGAGGGGTGATGTTGCTCCGTAGACCGACTCTCCGAGTGTTGTTATTCGGAACTTTTATATATGCAAGTTTATCTTGAAAATGTCGTGGCCACTGTCAAATATCTTAAGTTTGTATGGTGGCAACCGCCACAATCTCATGACAATGAAAAAAAAAATATATCGCCATTATTGAGTGTGGCAGCCCTAGCACTATTCACTACTAGTATAATGTTTTCAATACCAGGTTTTTTTAGCGCATATTTCACTGAATCTTTAAAATCATATAATTTACAAATATTCTTGTATGAATCCTCACAAAGTATTATTTTTTATAAATGGTGACTCCGCAGACCCTCTTTGTCTTATGGAGATGATTGGCTATCCCAGTATAGTCACGGGAAGCTCGTTTATAAGCGGCTGAAGTTGTAGTTTGTATATATGATTTAGGCATCTGTCCTAGAGATACCTTGTGTTCTATGATGGTTACTGCAACATTCTATTGATTGATTGAATGAGTTTACGAGTAAACCCTACTCCGCAGCAAGGGGTATGTCGTGGGTACGTACGTGTCGCGCGTACTGCGGGCGGTGCGCCTGGTTACTCAGCGCGTTCTTGATCATCGTGTACACCTCCGCGTGCAGGAAGTTGTTGTCCGGGTACTCGAAGAACATGTCCAGCATCACTCCAGGAGTACCTGCAGACGTATACTACTGGTCTGAATAACCGATGTAGATGTAACAGCACATTGTGTACAAGCCTGTAGTCGGACTCCGCGAGCTCTACTTACCTAACGTGAGTAGAGTGGTCGCCACGTCGTCTACTTCGGAGAGGGCCAGGTGTGCCAGCAGCGCGGCCACCTGCACCCGCGCGTGGCCTACACGGCCCGCCCCCCGAGCCCCCTGCTGGCCCCCCGCCTGTCCCCAGTCGCGACCCTTCAGGCGCACATCGTCCTAATAAAACAACACGTACTTCACAATTGTGACTCACAAGAGGTCTTACCACCAGTAATGACGCAAATTATAATTTTGCGGGTTTCATTTTTATTACACGATGCTATTCCTTCACCGTGGAAGTCAATCGTGAACATTTTTCGCAAATCCGCAAACCGCCTTGATCGTAAACGCCCCTCTTCTCCCAAAGGAAGTTGAAGTCAAAACTAGGGTCAGAGCAGAGATATGCAGATACAAAAGAGCCATTGTTATTTGTTAGTGTGCTGTACTGTGCTGCACTGGGGCACTCACGGGCGGCGGCTGCAGCAGCGCCTGGTGCAGCAGCGGCAGGTGCGGGGCGATCGCCAGCTCCACGCTGGTGCGCTCCGACTCCGCGTCTGGACTGCAATATATAGAGAACATTCGTAACCGGTTTATCAAAACGAATAAGGATATATGTTCAGCAAGTTAACCGTTTAGTTCCTAATAGGCTATATTTAAAAATGTGGTGGTAAAGGAATGATTGAAGAGTCAATCGGATGTGAATTATAGGGAAGGACTTCAGTTCCAGTATTTAAAAAAAATGGATATTATTGATAGTAGTAGAGTAGTCAGAAGGTTGCGTGTTCAAATCACGTCGGGGTCACCAGTGTGGAAGGTTTAAACGACAAAGGGAAGATCTTCCTCCGAGCGGGTGATATTGTTCGGTAGACCAACGGTCCAAATGTTGTTGTTCGGAACTTGTATATATGCAAGCTTATCTTGAAAATGCCGTCAGCGAGATTCAGGCATCTGTCAAATATCTTGCGTTGTATGATGGCTACCGCCACAAAACGTATTAAATATTGAGGGTAATTTAAAAAAAATTTGAGCTAACACGAAAAAAGTAATGTTATAATTTCGTGACTGAAATGTAATGTAATATTTCTTGTAAGCAATGTAACATAATCCTTGGGTCGCGGTGGGAACTCACAGGATGGGGTCCCGGTGCAGCAGGGCCCGCAGCAGCAGCGCGGCGTGCACCAGCGCGGAGTCGCGGCGCGGCGCGGGGCTGGTGAAGGCGGCCTGCAGCACGCCGCGCACGCCCGCCGCGCCCCCCACGCGCCCGCACAGCCACAGCGCCGTGCTGGACCTGCACCCGCACGCTGCTATTCACAATCAACTCTCCCACCGCAATTACGCATTTTTATTCACTATATTCAATCTGCCTCTTTGTACAGGATAGGAATTTTTACTTAAAATCAATAAGAAAAACATAAAAAGAAATAATAAAAGAATCGTAGGCAGCGGCTTGGCTATGCCCCTGGCATTGCTGAAGTCCATAGGGACGGGAACCACTCACCATCAGGTGGGCCGTATGCTCGTCTGCCTACAAGGGCAATAAAAAAAAGTTCATAAAATGATCTATTAAAAAACTATTTCTACTTTTTCAATTACAAAACTTCGCTGCGAGTCTGAACCTTCAAGATTAGATCATAGGCACAGTCGCAGCTATCGGTGGAGGTCACCAAGTGTTACGTGTACCCCGGATCAGCTCGACCACTCACCACGATGAGCATCCCTCCACAGCGCATCCATTGAGTATGAGGTCGCAAAGTAGTGCGGCCGCATTGGCCGACGCGACTCCAGCCCTGTCCCCCGCACCACCTATTCTGCCGCCGGACCTCCTGCGGGGTCCCCTGCCAGCGCCCTTGGATGAACCCCCGCCTATACTGCCGCCCTCGCCGGACCCTTCTCCATTCTCGTCCGTATCTGATTCTAAAATTTTTCGGTTCTACTGGTGTACATGAACAGGCAATGTTTAATATATAGCCAAATCTTATTTTAAGTGTTTAATAAAATCATTTGGGTTTGTCAATCAATTTGTGTCACTAAACTCTCGATGCCACTAACGTTACCTTCATTATCAGAATCTTTATTTCCCTCGTGATGCTCCTCATTGTGATTCGGTTCAGTAACGTTGTTCTCCTGATCGATATGAGGATCTGACTGCTGAGGTTCGTTCTCTATGGGCTCTGGAGACAACTCCTCGGGGACGTATGTACCACATATTATCTGGATCAAGGATTCTAGGAGCTGATGTTCTTCGAACCACTAGGGAAATCAAATATCCATGATCACAACAATCTTTTAAAAATATGTACCATTTTGGAAAACTCTTGTGGCAATTGTAGCATCACTCTCAATTATTCCGATTTAGTCAATGGCACAATCTTACGAATAACAGTGGCGTTAGCAATGTTAGAATGTTTGCATTCTAACTAAAGGCTTTGTTAGTAAATAAATAAAAATTCTTAAATACCTATCTAATTTTGGTACAAATTGAATATGTCCTCACAAATTTTTATTTGGAAATTCATTGCATCCATCTAAAATTAATCTAAATTAATGTTTGAAGAACTTTTGATTCGGAAGTAATTTTAAATTGCAATGAAAGATTTTACCTCCATCACAATCTTGTGGAACAGGTCATCGAGACGTATGAAATATTTAAAGATATCTGCAATGGCTGATGTCGCAATGTGCCGCAGCAGGTTTGGAAGAAAGTCGCGACGTGATTTGAAGAAGTCCAGCACTCGCAGGCACACTATGTGGTACAGGTAACAATCCTAATAAATAACATTGAAACTGTTAAGGATGACCTTCATATACTATTTCTTGTTTCCTTAAGGGACCTTTCCACCTTCACCAAGTTAGATGGGAGACCACAGATTTAGCCAGAAGAGATTTGTTGCCTGCTACCTAAGCATTTCCATATTTTTTTTGACAGTTTTTTAGACAATTAGATAGAGTAATAGCACAAGATAGCAGATAAACACTCCTCATGTGCCACCAGACCAATACGACTGTGGCATTATATTAACCAACTTGTTTAACTGAACAACGGGCATAACAGTATCTTTTTGTATAAATTTACATTTGCCATTAAGTGGTCGAAAAAAATAATTTGTTCTTGTGTAACTACTAGTTACGACTCAGTTTCTTTTACATTTTTCATGTGATCTACATTGTTGATACTGTATATATGTTTGGCGTTGATGTACCTTTTGTAGAACACTCTGTATATTCACATATAACTGAGATTCAAGTAATTACATTTTGTAAAAAAACCAAACCTACAAAAATTATAATTTGCATAATTGGTGTAAGTGTATCATAATCCTGTATGGGTAAATACAACTATTCTGCCTGTCTGCCACAAAGCAGTTTTGATGTCTTTGGGCTCTACTAAGCACTTAACACAAAGCCATGTTTTTATTCACATATTTTTAAAAAAAATTGCAAAATTTCTGCAATCAAATAATTTAATCAAAAATGTCAGTATAATACACTAGTGATGTGTTCTAGCATTTAGAAGAACTTCAAAATATGGCATAGGGAATGAATCTAATAATCTAATTCAAGACATTAGATCATTTAAGCCTACTAGTAAAACTAACCCTAGTTTTATATATTTGTAGACAAACCTGTTTTGTACTACGCTCTAACAGCATTTCCACTGTTTTGCTGAAATATGAAGCCAGTAGTGGATTTAAAGGTGGATCTCTGTTTATGAAGTCACATAGCCTATTCATCTGAACAGTGTCCAGTGAGAGGCGGTCGTTGAGCATCGGAAGCTGGCTAGTGAGGACCTCACAAGCAATGCTTGCATGGCGGTACTGCTGGGCAAGCTCCACATTCTTCGGAGGTTCTTCAGTTATTAATGTTATCAGTTCTGCCAGTATTTCTGGTTTTGTAAGACTGAAACAAACAGACAACTCAATAACAAAAACATGTATCTATTCTACAAAATCATTGTTATAATGTTTCTGTTTTTTTATTGAATTCATAAGTGCAATCAGTTTTGGGCCCACCTGATATTATTACTGTCACCCAAAGACCATACTAGAGAGTCCAATTAATGTCACAGTTTTATCTATTTTAATTGTGTAAATAGAAAACACTAAGACACTTGTTTATTCATAATTTTTGTTTACTTAATTTAATTTGTGACCATTGTTAATAGGTATTCAGTTACCCAAAATTGTAATATTTGTTGAAAAAAGACGGTCGCATTGCGAATACAAAAACAAACACTAAGTATATACTGGATTACTTGCATATTATCACATGATAAATTGATATTTTAAATCATTAAATTTGAAACCATTGTGAAATACTCACAATTGTATGAGCGCTTTATTATCAGCCTTACATTCTTGTATAATATCATCAGCTTCTAAAACTTGGGCAAGGGTAAAATTCTGAAACAATTTTTTTCTTTTAAACTTTCTGCATCACACCTCAAAATGTATTTATTGCGAAGTCGTTGCACACATAGACCTAAATTCGAGATGAGCACTCTCTTAAAATATAAATAACAAAAAGCAAGCATGAATTTAAACAGTGAAAAGTGGAATCATAACCACGAAATTGGTATTCCAAAAGCATACCTGCTCCTTCAGTAGAACATTTAAAGTTCTAACTGTAATATAGTTACCGCTCCAAAACATTATTACAATTAGTAAGTACAAAACAGGTAATTTTAATCTAAATCCATAGAAAAACGTATTAATGTAGTTTTTTGTGCTCCGCGATAAGCACAAACGAACGATTCATTTTTGACAGTTTTTTTTTCTTTTGTATTAAGTAATCTGGGCTCCAACCCTTTGGCCAGATACTTTTGAATGATTTGCCAATTGAACAGTGAAGAAGAATAAAATGAAATTGATTTATCTATAATTTAATGAAATGAAATAATGAAATTTGCTATAACTTCAATGGACTTTTTTAAAGAACATCGTCATAGTAATAGTGCAAGAGCTCGCGGCGGCTAGAACTTCGTTATTCTATAAAGGCTGAAACTTCCTCTGTTCTTGAACCCAATATAGGTAAGAACGATCAGCGACTTGGGCAGGTATCAAGTAGTAAAGTTGTCTGAAATAGTAAGTACCTCAAATATATTAAAGTAGCTCAGAAGAGCTGTAAAGAAGCTCAGTTTTTCTATTATGTAAGTATTTAGGTAAATGTAAAATCGTTTGAAAGAGGACACTACAAGACGCCTACAGGCATTCGAGATGTGGTGCTACCGTCGCACGTTACGCATTAGTTGGACGCAGAGGGTCAGGAATGAAACCGTGTTTCAACCATAGACCTANGTTTCAACGCGTTCATATGTCCCGGAAAATGTTGCCTTCTATCAAAAAGCGCAAGATAGAATATCTCGGCCACGTGCTCAGGAACGATAGATACATGCTGCTGCAGTTGATAATTATAGGCAAAGTGGACGGAAAGAGACGTGCTGGGCGAAGAAGGAATATCCGGGAGTGGACCGGTATTGCCTCCGTCGAACAGTTGTTCCGGCTGGCTGCTGATAAAAATGAATATAGAAAGCTTACGGCCAACCTTCAGGATTGAAGCACTGGAAGAAGAAGAAGAAGAAGAATCCTCATTTATGATTATATCTTTATTAGTACAATATTATGACGGTTAACATTGAAATACCATAACTAATTATATTTTAACAATAACTCAAAGCGTTTTCTTGCTCTTCAACAAATGCATAGCAAGTGCTTCAACTTCTGATACAGATAATGAAGCTGATATGTCTTGAATCTTTTTAACCTTACGAGGTGCTATGCTTTCCTGAGGGATACCTTTGCTTTCTACCAGTTTCCTTTTTTGAGGCCTGAAAATAAAAATATTTAAGCAATATAAATAGCACAATTCATTCTTCGTTCTCTAAATGTGTATATAAGCCCACAATCAACCAAGACAAACCAAACCATTTTTAATATATAGCAACTATAATCTAAAACTTTTTGTGAAATCATAAACAATGAAATCAGTTGAATCCTCCAAACCTAATGAATATAACAATAAAAATTAAAATTGGAATATTTAAAAATGGAATTCAATGAGGGAATGGGTCTATGTGATTATTATTACAACCTATTGACACCCACTTTTAGTTTTTTTGGAATTAAAAATACAGTAAAATACCTGTGATACTTCTCTTCTTCACTGTAAGATCCCTGATCCAAATCAGTGTCATCTTCATTTCTACTGCTGCCAGCATCACTACTCTTATCATTATTGCCATCCTCATTACTATAAATCTTATCAGGATCAGGAAGCCATGATAGATCTGGTCCGTCAGACTCTGACTGTGATCCAAAATCATCCTTTTCCCCTTCTTCATCTTTCTTTTTATTCTTTAGTTTTCTTTTTTCTTCTTTATGTTTTGCTTTTATCCTCTGTCGAAATCTTATTTTATCAAATTTATCCTCTTCTTGTAGAACTTCTTTAGCTTTTTCAATGTCAATTCCTCCAATGTCCTCATTTGCAAATTGTTTAGCTATATCAGATCTGACATTTCTTTTTTCATCCTCTATAATTTGTCCTTCCTCATTAAATGTCACTTTGGTGTTCACTTTCAACTTCTTTTTCAGTATTTTCTTGGCAACAGCTGTCTTTGTTAATGGTTTAGATTTCTTCCTAGAAATTGTTTCCTCAGCAGTTGAAACCTCTTCAGCTACTTGAATATTTTTAGTTTTAACTTGAAGAAAGTCATCTTCATCACTATCTATATTGTTATGGAAGTCAAATTTAGGTAATGCTTTCTTTTTAATTATCTCTTTCTTTTGCTGTTTTTTTCCTTCCGGGTTTTCTTCAATACTCTGATCCGTTTCAGCCCCATCATCATCCCGAGCTTTAAGTTTGTCAATAATATTGCTGCCTTGGGATTCTTGATCTATTTTATATTGATTTTGCCTATGATACTTCTCTAAGAATCTTATCCTTGGTGGCACAATTAAGCCCAGTGATCTGGCATAAGCATCAGTATCTAAAAGCTGAACTTTAAATATATCTTTATTTTTCATTAAGAATATAGACTTTAAGTAGCAAACAAATGCTCTTTGTGCGGTTTGCTTCAGTTCAGTGTTGTCAGATAATAGAGCTTCTATTTTAAGTTGTGGAGCAACTACTTTTGATGGATCAATGGCTATTTTGTTAATTGGAATCTTACTATTTTTTAAACTCTCAACAAATTTCTCTTCATGGGGTAATAGCATGAGGAGGCCTTCTCCTTTACCAAGCACTCCTCTAGCTGTCCTGCCAGCTCTGTGGATGTATGTCTCTACATCTTCTGGGCAATCCATTTGTATAACCCAATTTACCCTTGGAAAGTCTAAGCCCCTTGATGCCAAATCTGTAGCAAACAATACAACATTTGATTTCCTACAGAATTCATTATAAATCTTTTCTCTTTTCTCCTGATGCAGAGTTCCATAGAGAGCCAGTAAACTGACCCCAGGCCTCAGCTTACAGAACAAATCATAAGTGTATTTAACTTGCTTACAGGTTGCCATAAACACTAGCACTTTTTGTTTCAAATGGTTTCTAATGAAAGACCAAAGTATTCCAATTTTCTCATCAATCTCACATGTGATGTAACTCTGTTGTAGTGCCTCTGGAGTTACTGTGGCAGCTTGCTCATGAGGAGCTACATATGTGGGAAATGACAAGCTCAATCTAGCTAAATCTTTAACAGATTTAGTCTGTGTCGCCGAGAAAAGCAATGTTTGTCTTTGAGGCGGCAAGTTCTCTATTATAGCATTCATCGTGGTTTCAAAGCCCATATCTAAACACCTATCAGCCTCATCTAGGACAACAATTTGGAGGTGGCTACAGTCAAACAGAGGGTTCTCATCCATGTGCTGCAGCAACCTACCTGGAGTACATATTAATATATTGATTTGATCCATTCTTTTTCGTTCAAATTTTAAATTCTGTCCACCAATAATCAGTCCAGCAGAGAAATCATGAAAATGTCCAATTTTCCTGAGAGTTTCATATATTTGGTAAGCTAGCTCTCTTGTTGGTGATATCACTAATGCTCCAACTCCATCTAATCTGGTCCATTTCTTACAAAACAAGTTTTCTAATATGGGTATTAAGAATGCTAAGGTTTTGCCAGAACCTGTTTTAGCTGCGCCAAGGATATCTTTTCCTTGCAGTGCATATCCGATAGCTTGTTTCTGTATTTCAGTGGGAGTCACGTAATTATTCGCTTTGAGTCCATTTAGAGTTTTCTGGGAGAGGGGAAAATCTTTAAAAGTTCTTATGTCATCCGGATTTATCTGTAACCAAATGATCACCGTATTATTAGGTTATTAATTTAAAAAAAAGATTGTCTGATTACATTTCAGGGAATTGTAACCAAACGTAATATTTTTACCTTTTCATATTGCCCCTGTAAATATTTGATTGCGGCATCTTCCTCAAAGCTTTTTTTCTTACGTGGTTTATACAACAAAACTTTCTTACGCCCTCGTTGAGCTTTTGGGTCTTTTTCTTCTTGTTTCATTGTAAAATTACGTTTCTCTAACATAAAATCTAATATCCCACATGGACTTGTTGTGACATTTATTGTGATTATCTATGGTGACAATCAACAACGAGTTTGTTTTCTTTGAAAGTCAAGGGAATGTCGTCCAAACACAGAAAGTTTTGATAATCTTCAACCACTAATTATACGGTATAGCTTCATTAAATAAACAGCAGAAATAATAGATATGACAGCTAAGGACAAAGTGTAATATCCTGAGTGAAGATCCAATATTACTAGGTGCTACTTTGCTTAATAACAGGTACGTGGTAGGTACTAATGGGTCCATTTATCAGTGTTTTATCTATAGCATGTGGTGTAGACCTCTACCCACCAATCATTACTCTTATCCATTCCAACCTAGGTCTCACGTGATTGTAAGACACTGATCCTCATAGACATCGTCAATTCCAGAGGCACAGCCAAACAACTGTCAACTTTACCTCCCCATTTAAGTAGAAACAAGGAAATGCCTGCCCTGTCAAGTCGAGTCTGTTAGACTTTTTGGCGGAAACGCAAAATATCTGAATTGTTTTGTTTAGTTAAATTGTTTTTTTTTAACATGTTATAGACCTTTCACGTAGAATCTCTTTAATAAAACGCGGTCTCTATATATTTTTTTATGTTGATGTCTCCGTTTAAAAAGTCTTACATATTTTTCTACTTATTTTTTCTAAATTTGTTCTGTCATTCTTTTGCTTTTGAGATTTCCTCTGAATAGGTTAAAATCTATCTACCTAAATATGGTAGTGGCCTTTTTAATCGCCATAGTGTAATAATAGGTCTGATGCTTTCTTCAACATCTGTGAAAGTGTAAAAGTGCGACAAAATAAAACAAAGTCGCTTTTTTTTTGGTTATTCCAAAAAGTAAATTGAACGTTTTTCCCTTTTCATTGAAAGTATTTCATTTAACTTCATAGAATATCTGTGGTATTGTCTTACTTCAGTTCATTCGCATTAGTTCCAAAATTGATTTATGAAATTAAATTAATTTTGTCCCATAACATCATTTCTATCAGATATGACAAGTCTTTAAAACGTGAGAATTATGGTTATGGTCTATATTCCCTTTGCTAAGCCAATAGATAAAGTAAACTAGAAAGTCAAAGTCAATTGTTGTCAAAATGAGAATGGCAATAAAATTGGCAACTGGTTCGGGTTTATGGTCAGTTCTTGCAATTCTCGCAAAGTGCTAGCATTCACGATTCGGTTATAGAGTTGAAAGCTTGCGATAATTGTTGAATTTCATTCTTGCATCAAAAATAAGTGTAACTTAATCCACATTCATAACAAAGGTAAAAAAGCTTAAACATTGTTTAATATTTAAAAAAACTACTATAACGTCACTTAATTTGGAGGTCTTTGCAAAAAAAACATCTTTATTATGATTACGATTTCATTCTTCGAGTCTTTGTGTTGACTCATGTAGAAGTTATAAAGATTTACGTTCTTTGAAATTCCGTTAAACCTATACATATAAATATGTGCAGAGACTAGGAAAGTATCATTCTATGAGTTTAATTAAATATTTAGGATTTAGAAACTTCTCTATATTAATAATTTTTTTATTGATAAATTCTACCAGGAAAACTATACATTTATTACGAACGCACACATTTATATACATATGTATATAACATAACAATACTGTAATGAAAATTGCTATTAGCTTTTAGAGTTTTGTTACTTTTTACTAATTAGACCATAAGCGGAAAACATTTTTTTTTATTTCTGAGACAATTGATGCTGATAATTTTGGGGATTGTGGAGTATTAACAACTACACAATCATTTACAAAAAAAATATATAGATTTTGCACTCTATATGCATAATGTGCATCTAAGAGATGAGAAATAATCAGATAACACCAAGGGTGTATACCATTATCTACTTTTAAAGTAAGAAAAAAATAGTTAGGCCTAAATTTTAAAGTTGTAAAAAGTTTCCTATCCCTTCTGACTTGACCATAAAAGATTATATAATTTTGATTAGCTTTGTAGGATATTTTGGATGACACACTGTTGTGTTATGGAAGAAATAAGAACAATTATTAGTATTATTAACTTAAAAATGTAACCACAAATGTTCTCACTGTTGTAAATCCTCCTGCCTTTGTGGTTGCTCGACAAGGGTTGGTAAAGAACCCAGAGAAAATTAGGAAGCATTGGAAAGGCACAGTGGGGGTTGGCATTATCACTTACATGTACTAGAAGATGGGTCAGTAACTTTAAAATATTATTTTCTCCTAGATAACCATTCAAGATGAAGTGTTTAGTATTGCTGCTATGCGCAGTGGCTGCTGTGAGTGCTGTTCAGTTCTTTGACCTGGTCAAGGAAGAGTGGAGTGCCTTCAAGGTAATTTCTCATTACTTTTAACATGTTATCTTCCTCTCTCTCACTCTCGCTCACACACCAACATTACTGTTGATTGCACCAGTTTTGCTATAGTCTTTGGTGTCATCATTTGATCTCTAATGAGTGTTTGCATTCGCCAATTATTGACATTATTGATATGGTGCGTGACAGTTCTGTTTAAACAGCTTGCCAGTAGTCTCTAGTGTAAAATATTCAAATTAACTTAAAACTGTACAGAACACTAGAATGACGTGACCTCTGTCAAATGAGGATTGTAAAAGCCCTCAGTACTAGGCAGCAACTTCCTTGTGTGGCGCTGCCTGAAGTCAATGAGTGACGGTAACCATTTACGTCCGTCAACCGACACCCGTTTAGACAGGTCAGGCGAGGACGTCCTGCCTACCTTTGAAGCAACACAAAATTAAGCGGCAATTGAAAAGAAAAAAACAATGCGCTACAGGTGTTTTTTATAACAAATAAAATGAGCACAATAATGAGTTTATTAACACTGTGTGCTTAGTGCGAGTTTTTTAACGTTCTCGATAGCGTAAACGTTAACTCATATTTGTATGGAATGGGATCGTTTGCGTACGTTTACCGTTAGGGGCGCCGTTCCAACTGCATACAAAATTGGGTTAACTTTTACGCTATCGAGAACGTTAAGAAACTCTCATTAAGCACTCTGACAAATATTTCTCACCCTTTCATACTTCCGGCGTGCAGCCGTGCATCACCACATCAACTCGAGCACGCCACCCGAAGCCGTATTAATATTATAATGTTCTTAGAAGTACAATTGCGTAGTTTTATGTTGACACAACAATTACGAGTGGGTAATATTGAAGCTTAACAATTTATAACTTTAAAAATGAACAATGTCACAAAGTCGAACTATTAAAAAGTAGCTAGTGCTTGATGAAACATATAATATGTCAAAAGATATTTTTGAGATTCATCTCTCACATCAACGACAATCTGAACATTTTTACTGGTGGTAGAACGTCTTGTGAGTCCGCACGGGTAGGTACCACCACCTTGCGTGTTTCTGCCGTGAAGCAGTAATGCGTTTCGGTTAGAAGGGTGGGGCAGTTGTTATACTGTAAAAACTGGGACCTTAGAAATTATATCTCAAGGTAGGTGGCGGCATTTACGTTGAAGAAGTCTAACGTCTCCGGTAAACATTTAACATCAGGTGGGCCGTGAGCTGGTCCACCCACCTAAGCAAAAAAAAAACATTCAAACGCAGGATCTCAATCGTATTGTAAAACTGCTAACCCACCCTTCAAATCAGAACGCATTCACTTCTTCGCGGCAGAAATAGGCGGAGCTCTGGCACCCACAGGCTTACGATGCGTCCTACCACTACATAAAATATATGCTAACTATAAATAAACAAAGTGTACTGTAATATACGACTTTGAAATGGCAACAATCGTACGAGTCAAGGCCGCGAAGCCGGAAACAACCAGGTAATTTAACCCGCCACCGCCGCGCCACTAATTCCTAGAGTAACCGTTTTGTTTGTTGCAAGAACTTTTCGGAATAGTGTAATTTGTAAATTCGATATAAAGAGGTACTACTGTAACTGCATTAAATTAAAAACAAAAAATATTATTAAACATATTAGGTACTATTATTATGCTAAAAATAACATTATTTTGGAAAAAAGTATTCCCCAACTATCGGCAAACACGTCAGCATCCTGACAAGATTGAATTACCTAGAACAGTGGATGGAGTGGAGGGGCAGTGGCATCGTCCTGTATATTACGTTCCGGTTCGAAGGATACTTGGGACTTCGATCGCTCATCTCATCTGTCCCTCGCATAGTAGTGTCTTGTGATTGATCTCAAATTTCCCTCGTAACAGCTGCAGCACCGTCTCAACTACGAAAGCGAGGTCGAAGACAATTTCCGCATGAAGATATACGCTGAGCACAAGCACATCATCGCCAAACACAACCAGAAGTACGAAATGGGCCTCGTTTCTTACAAGCTGGGCATGAACAAGTACGGAGACATGCTCCACCACGAGTTCGTGAAGACTATGAACGGCTTCAACAAAACTGCCAAGTGAGTACTTGTCTGATTATTGGACTTCACAACCCTTAGTTTGTCTTAACTAATACGTAGGTAACATACATTCTCGTATATTGAGCGTGTCTTGCAACGTGACACGTGAACCTTGTGTCGGGACTGGGCACTTCGAAATGCCTTTTTAGATTTACTTTATTTCAATTTCATACAGAGATTTTAACTGGATTTTTTTATCAATATTGTGATTTCAATACTGTCGATAATATTATGAATGTAAAATTGCGTATGTAACAGACATCCGTATAAACTGAGTCAACTCACAGCTCGCAGATTAGTCTTCGTAACTTGAAATAGAACCAAAGATCCTAGTTATTATTGTAAATGGAGTCACGGGTCTAGCTGGTGGTAGGTACCTATATATTGTTACGTCGTAACAAAATTCTAAAATATATAATGAATACAAAAAATAATTACACACACACAAACAAACAAAATAACTAGTTGTTACAATGAATGAAAACCGTGCGCTTTAATTATAGCTTCATAATGACTATATAAGGTAATCATTGGTACCGGAAATCAAATTCTTTCTGGAACATCCGATAAGAAACGCCCACAACGTAGGTGCCTAGAAATTTCGAAAACAAAATACAATAGCGAACAACAGCGAATACTCTCGCTGCTTCGTAAAGTGGTCAGTGTGCTTAGTGCGAGTTTTTTAACGTTCTCGATACAAAATTGGGTTAACTTTTACGCTAGCGAGAACGTTAAGGAACTCGCACTAAGCACACTGGTTGTTGATCGACCGCTGGGTGAAACAATGCAACAACGTGTTTATTTATTTTTCTGAATTATAAATTTAAAGTCAGTGAAACCGCGGAGCATTTAATATAAAAACTGAATAAAAAATCCTTTAAAAATTGTATAGTCAGATTTTTTTTTACCTACCAAATGGCTGGTACCCTAAGGGGATATTCCAGCTACTCTCTGACTGGTATGTGAGCTGACGGGCTCAAGCCAAGAGAATTACTATCGGATATGCAGTCGGCAGTAGTTAGTAGTTAGCGGCGGCCAGGTTGAGGGGCTATCGTGCCGCGTTGCTTTTCCAAAGAAGCGTTTTAACACTGTCATTACGCAATCCCACAACATAGAGCTGATACTGAGGACCTGCGTTTCGGTTGTCTCTCTCTCTCGACTGTCAACTAATAAGTTGGGGAAAAAGTTTCTTCGCATTTTTTAAGAAAATTCACAACATTTTTTTAATATAGTTTATTTACATTTAACTAAAGTATGCAGGTACCATTTTGTTCGATAACTTTTTGCGATCTTGTAGGTAGGGACATGATCCCATTGCTATAGAAATTTTGGGACTTAAATTCAGTCAGACTTGAATTCGACAATTCACGCCTACCATTATCATAAAGACCTACTGAGCCTGTCAACTTTGACACGGCACATGTGTTATGCGCAGATACAACGATAAAAGAGCGGGTGTATCTATGAACCAGCGATAACGTTGTTGATTGAATAACATCAATGTGGCCATAACATGTATAACCGGACCGCGATTAAGATAATAATATGCACACGACACATTTTCAAATTACAATCATTCTCGTATTTCGGTTTGAACCAGCCTTTCTAAAATACGTAGCGTAGTAAGGAGTTACGTTGTGGTATCAGGGGGAAAACTTTTGTTTGGGGAAGGGAGGTGTCGAATCGGGCGAATTGTTTTATTATGCTAACATTGTGTTTCTTTAGGTCCACACGGGTACTAATGGTGTCTTACTAATCTTTTCGGCCTTTCCTGATCGCTTCTTCAGATGGGGTTTGAAGAGAATCCTCATTAGACGGAAGTCGCTTGGCTGTGCCATGGGCATTCCTGATGATCATGAGCGACGGTGAATATGTTCCGTTAAGTAGGCCGTACGTCTGCGTTCAATTCCAATAAGAAAAGATAAAGGATCCCACAGATCTCTCCAGCGCCCTAATGCTTAGTTGCCACAAATAATCATGTATATTTCTACTGGAGCTACACTGAGTCCAGGGTCGTACGTTGACACGTTCGAGTTACACACCTACCTACACGTTCGTCGGGTTGTTGAGGAAAACGCGTATCGGGAATGTGAATAAGATTTCGAACGACCATTTTGATGACCTTTGTTGAATTTATTTAAAAGAAATGTTGTTTATGTCTTTATCGGTCATTTATCAAATTGGCGTTAATAATATGTACAATAGTATTATTATGTGATAGCACTTTATTGTTTGAACTTTATATAAATCGATGCTTATCTGTCTATCCTGTAGAAGTTATATGGTCTGGTCGATTGTGCTCCATGAATTTTATAGAAATAGGCGGGACGAGGGATTAATTGTTTAGTGATGAGACTGATTTCGGCTCGACGTCCATAGCCGCCGATCTCGTCCCGGCGGTGAATGTAGAAAACTTGTCCCTATTTGTGGCAGAGGAGTGACAGGCTGCGCAAACGATTCGAAGTGCCCTTTCAAAGTTTTTTTTTTGGCGAACTTACCACTTAACGTCTGGTAGACCTGCTCGTCAACTCGTTGAACGCATTTTTTTTATTGCATAAGTGGGTGGACGAGCTCACAGCCCACCTGGTGTTAAGTGGTTACTGAAGCCCATAGACATCTACAATGTAAATGCGCCACCCACCTTGAGATATAAGTTCTAAGGTCTCAGTAGAGTTACAAGGGCTACCCGTTGTTACTACGTGCTTGAATCGTGGTCCAGGCGGTTGGCCAACCCCACGTGGAATCAACGGACCGTCGAGGCGGTTTACCCAGTCTTTGATGACTGGGTGAATCGTGGCCGAGGACGCCTCACCTTGCGTCTGGTGCAGGTGCTGACTGGGCACGGATGCTTCGGGAAGTATCTGCACCAAATAGGAGCTGAGCCGACGACGAGGTGCCACCATTGTGGACACGACCTGGACACGGCGGAGCATACGCTCGCTGTCTGCCCCGCTTGGGAGGTGCAGCGCCGTGTCCTGGTCGCAAAGATAGGACCGGACTTGTCGCTGCCTGGTGTCGTGGCGTCGATGCTTGGCGGTGACGAGTCCTGGAAGGCTATGCTCGACTTCTGCGAGTGCACCATCTCGCAGAAGGAGGCGGCGGGGCGAGTGAGGCAAAGCTCTCCTCACTACGCAGAAATCCGCCGCCGCCGAGCAGGGGGTCGGGACCGGAGTCTCGTCCGTAACCCGGCCCCTTAAGAGCTTCGGGCTCCACCCATTTTGTGCGGGAAGGAGCCTATGCGTGGGGCGGCGTGGTAAGCCGCGTTACCTCGACCGCTCCGGGGGAAGGTGTAGCGCGGCGCCATCAATGCGGACTCTTGGCCCGTGGACCGAGGAAACCGGCGGTTGTGTCGCTGGCGGCCGCTGGTCCGGCGTCTGGCGGACGGCGGGATGGATGTAATATGCTCTGCGTAAACCCGACTGGGTTCCCACCCGGTCCGGGGTAGGGCGCCGGCTGTGAGCGGCAGGAGTTTTTACTGAGGTTCAACTCCCACATACCGGGGGGGATCCGGCGATTTTATCCTGTGGAAAAAAAAAACCCCACCCTTCAGACCGAAACGCATTACTGCTTCACGGCAGAAAGAGGCGGAGTGGTGGTACCTACCCGTGCGGAGTCACAATAGGTCCTACCACCAGTGACTACGCAAATTATAATTTTGCGGGTTTGATATTTATTACACGATATTATTCTTTCACCGTGGAAGTCAATCGTGAAAATTTGTTAAGTACGTATTTCATAAAAAAAATTGGTACCCGCCTGCGGGATTTGAACACCGGTGCATACGAATGCACTGAACGTCTTATCCTTTAGGCCACGACGACTTTTTTCAGCATCAAACCTATACCGATGTTCTTATGTAACGCAGACACAACAAGAATCTGTACATGAAGGGTGGGAGCGTCCGCGGGGCTAAGTTCATATCGCCGGCCAACGTGAAGCTGCCGGAGCAGGTGGACTGGAGGAAGCACGGCGCCGTCACCGACATCAAGGACCAAGGGAAGTGTGGCTCATGCTGGTCCTTCAGCACGGTGAGTTTTTTTTATTGCCCTTGTAGGCAGACGAGAATACGGCCCGCCTGATAGTGAGTGGTTACCGTCGCCCATGGACAACAGCAATGTCAGGAGCAGAGCTAAACCGCTGCCTACTAAGTGACACGCCGTCCTATACCTCACAGTACCCTCCTCGGCTCGTTAATGTCCTTCAGCACGGTGAGTTTATTTTTTTATTGTCCTTGTAGGCAGACGAGCATACGGCCCGCCTGATAGTGAGTGGTTACCGTCGCCCATGGACATCAGCAATGTCAGGACTAGAGCTAAACCGGTGCCTACTAAGTGAAACGCCGTTCTACAACTCACAGTATTCCTCCTCATATGTAAACCTGAAATTATAATAATTCACCTAATGTTTATGAAATCTCTCCTTTATTTTAACTAGTATAAAAATGTTGAAGTAGTTTCCCTCCATCCCTGACTGAGTTTGTTTACCGGGAACCGTTATCTGTACGCAGCTGTGTAATTATTGTTTTTGTCTGTTTGCGGACATTGTTACTATCTCTACGTAATTATTTCCTACAATAAATCACCACCAATTGTATTGATTGTGTTTACTGGTTTGTTTGTTATTTTTCGGAAACTATACATTTTAGCGACAACTGCTAATTATAAACGAGGGGCTGAGATAAGAATTTCCTTGTGTAAATAGTACGGAATTTACGTATTTATAATTAATTAAAATAAATAGAGCATGTTTTTTTTTGTTTGTGGTTCTGAAGAATACTGCCGATGGAAAAAGATTATAGAGTAGGAAACCTTTGCCCCCGTATCTCGAGGATCTCTCAGGAGCCCGGAACTACCGTCCCCGTGTGTTCCAGGCTCTAGTCTCCGTGCGACTAACGTAATGTTGTATGTGTGTTGTACCAGACTGGAGCTTTGGAAGGACAGCACTTCCGTCAGTCCGGCTACCTGGTGTCGCTCTCGGAGCAAAACCTCATCGACTGCTCGGAGCAGTACGGGAACAACGGCTGCAACGGGGGGCTCATGGACAACGCCTTCAAGTACATCAAGGACAACGGGGGCATCGACACCGAGCAGACCTACCCCTACGAGGGAGTTGACGACAAGTGCAGGTCGGTCTACACGCACGCGCACGCACACACGCACGCACGCACGCACGCATACACGCACGCACGCACCCACACACGCACATATGCACACACGCAAACACGCACGCACGCGACCGCGGGCCCGCCGGTCAGTTACGATTTGTCTATCTCAACTAAACGCTATCAGCACTAACAATGACGTAAATAAATAACAACAATAGGAATGCTACATTTGGCACTCTGACCCGCCGCAGGTACAATCCGAAGAACACCGGCGCTGAGGACGTGGGCTTCGTGGACATCCCCGAGGGCGACGAACAGAAGCTGATGGAAGCCGTGGCCACCGTGGGGCCCGTCTCCGTGGCCATCGACGCCTCGCACACCAGCTTCCAGCTCTACTCCAGCGGAGTCTACAACGAGGAGGAGTGCTCCTCCACCGACCTGGACCACGGGGTCAGTCTCGCTTGCATCCTCTCTCTACTATATATTATAACCCCGGGCACTAAAAACAACAAGCTTTGACAGTCGATACCATTGATATTGAGATCATACACTAGTAAAGGGTTTTTGAAAATTTTACCCTCAAAAGGCACACAGGGTTGCATTGTAGGACATCCGGCCTGCTCAAAGTAAGAAACAGGATTTTTATACAGTGCGGGCTCCCTCACACAGGGAATGGTAACAAGTTTTTAATGGTGGTAGTATCTCGTGTGAGTCCGCGCGGGTAGGTACCACCACCCCGCCTATTTCTGCCGTGAAGCAGTAAAGTAAGGAAGCGTTTCGGTTTGAAGGGTGGAGCAGCCGTTGTAATTATACTGAGACCTTAAAAGTTATATCTCAAGGTGGGTGGCGCATTTACGTTGTAGATGTCTATGGGCTCTAGTAACCACTTAATACCAGGTGGGCTGTGAGCTCGTCCTACCATCTAAGCAATAAAAATAAAATAAAATAAAGTATCTTTTTAACAATATTGGACGTGTACCTCGAGCACATTTCCCGGGGCCCCCAGCGCCCTCCCTCCGACAGACCACGACAGATCAGTTGTATCAGTATTATTATGTCGATACAAACCTGTTGATTCATTGAAATATAGTTGGTAAGACGTTACAGTAATTGTTGTTGACTTGTTTTAACTTGTACTGGTGTGGTGTGTGGGCAGGTTCTGGTGGTGGGCTACGGCACCGACGAGCAGGGCGTGGATTACTGGCTCGTGAAGAATTCGTGGGGCCGCTCGTGGGGTGAGCTGGGCTACATTAAAATGATTCGGAACAAGAACAACCGCTGCGGCATCGCCTCCTCCGCCTCCTACCCCCTCGTGTAAACCCCCCCCCCTCCCTCCCTCCCGCGGAGCTGCAACATTCACATCTCTTATGTACACTTATGGTTAAGTTATCTCTGTAATATGTATAATTCTCATAATGTATGATTAGGTTAAGGAAATTTATGAAAATTTAAGACTACTTTCGTTACATTTTATAAGTTTAAAAATCAAGTTAGAAGTCTCATAAACCTGAGGACGGCAATACCACAACTGGCCCCCGACCGCGGTCCGGGACGGGGCTATACACGTTGGCTTCAGTTCGTCAGTAGGCCAACGGCGACGACCTACCGACATTGTCAATAGCAGTACGTGACAGCGAAGAAGGACGCCGCCATCGAATGTTTATGTCCAAACTCAGATTAATAAATAATTTTATAAAAACTTGTTACAAATGTTTTTCATTTATTCACGTTGTCAAATGTAGTTACGACTTACGGACTTGAAGGTGCATTATTGTTGAAGTTCTCATAATTTAAGTATCGGCCGGAGAGCGCTCACTGCGCGGGCACGCCACAACAGAGATCTTCTCCACTCTCTCGCGGCAGAGTCCTGGAGGGTTTATCTCTGTGTCGATTTTAGACTGTTGCATCGAATTATAAACCACACCGGTGCTTCTCGATCTCTGATCTAAACATAATCTAAAAAAGAGCAATCACAAGACCTCAGAATTAGTTCAGTAGCACACAGTACTTCAGGTCACAATCGGAAGACCCGGACCTGGATAAATAAGTCAACACTATTCCTGTGATGGCTTAGCACTCGGTTGGATCTGCGAGTGGGACTAGGTCATCACTGGAGATGTTTTTGTTTTGCATGAAACGCGTGACGTCACAGTGTTTTAACAAAAACAAGTCAACACCCGCTAACCTTGAAGTGTTTTATTTTGATGTAGCGTCGATATAGTAGGTATGTAATCAATGGGTCGCCGATGTGTTTTTGCGCTCCCAAACTGAACGCGTGAATGATCTAAATGAAATTTACTCAATAAACTAGACAGTAGAAAATGTCTATTTCTAAGGATCTCTAAAAGGATCCATCTAAATTTTTTTAACTTCCTTCTTTTATTTCACTGATGGTGGGGCGCACTGTAAGCCCGCACGAGTGGGTGACACCACTCCGCCTACTTCTGCCGCGAGCCGGTCCCGCATTTCGGTCGGAGAAATGTGGAACAGCCGCTATACAGCATGATTCAGACTTTTAATTCGCTTAAAATTGGTGACGGCTTTCATGTTGTGACAGCTATGAGCTCCGATAATCACTTAATTCACCAAAATAACTTATTCAACTGTCTTAACAATAACACATTCAGTTACTGACCGTTCACTTAACCGAGGAAAGCTATTCGGATTATTGATAATCCGGACCTTACGGGTCACTTGGAAACTCTGGCTCTACTGGGAAATAGGTTCCATTGATGTTTTCTTCCAAATGTGCTATTGGAGCTCTCTAAGGAGTGGTTTGAGAAGATAACGTCTTCTTCATAGCACGGCCCGCCATCGGAGCAGAGGTCATCTCTTCAAACATGGTTCAAGAAGAGGTCTCAGCGGCTGTAACTCCCTGGGATTGCCAGCGACAATGAATTTGTGACGTACTCAAACTCCAAAATTACAAGTTTGTATATTGAAGAAACATTCTGGTTATAGATGAAATTCATTATTTATTTTGCACTCGAAAGTGTTCGTTACAATTTTATACAATTCATATACAAAAATATGAGAGGGTTTATCCTCAATGGTGTAATCGAGAGCCCTCAAACAAAGCATAACAGTTACACAGTAGAGGCTGGGCAGCTAGCTACTGTGCCAGCGTCGACAAGATACAATTTAAACAGGCCCATACATAATAAATACACTTCATATTTAAGAAGCAGGCCTGGCTGATACACTCGTATCTATCTATCTGACTAATTTATTTTTAAATATTTGTTTAGGACGACTTGTTTCGATACCTATATATTAATTGATACCCAGGTAAGTTCTGGGGTCGTGACCGTCGTCTGTATTTGTTATCGAAGGTAATCAAGTCTCCCGATGTTGTTGATCCTCTTTTATTATTTTGATTAATATGTACATAAGTACGTGTGCATTGTGACGATAATGGATAACACAACTAGCTGAGTCACTCGCCGGATCTCCTCTGTGAGTCGCGATTCCTAATTGGCGGTAGATTCAGCGAAGCACTGTTCTTACTAGAGCAGAGGTTAGCGAAGTCTCTCCAGCTGAACCCGGGCGTTCGCTCTCCAACCACGGCGAAGCCTCTCGAGACTACTGGCAGGCAAAAAAAGTTTAACACCTTCATCGGCTTTCGCAGTTTGATTAAGGAATACACGATAAATCTTACTGTCACTATTATACTGTCTTGACAAATATCTGTCTTGAAGCCGGACCAACAAGAGTATGCTGCGTTTCTTTTTAGACCAACTAGGTACGCAACAAAAACACAACTTTTGCTGTTTCTTGTAATATGAATGAATCTATTAATCTATTACTGCGTTATCTAAATTATATTCAATCGCACTCGTGACGGTCAAAGACAGTGGCCCGGCGCGGCGAGGCGGTATGCTGTTTTTTTTGGTTTTAAATGTTTGTCGGGGCCCATATACATCTCAGCGAGACTGCGACCCTCAAGGTTAGAGACAAATATAAATCGTATTGTATAAATACTGTCCCACCCTTGAAACCAGAACATGATTGCTTCGCGAACATACTTACATGATATCGTGTACCGATACATTTTATTCATATAACGTTTTATAAAGTGGTACTGTAAGTAAGTATCTAATATTAAACGTAAAGGACAACAAAAAATAAAGTATATTTATCAAAAACAAATACGGTCAAAACCGTTTACTGCGACATCGTTTAGAACAACATACTGGTTATAATAACCTAGAACAAAGGTCCCGGCTGAATGCTATATGACCGCCTTATTAAAAACATTGCTTTATACGTCATTGCTATATAATAACGACATACTTCATAAAACGACCACATTTAACTAATATTTCGGAGAATTAGATCTGTTAGAACGACCGGCTAAGCTGAATTGTAAACAATTTGAATAGGTATCCACATTTGTCTTCAATGGCTATTAAAATCAGGAAAGAAAACAATAGGATTTCGTTTAGTGTAGGGTCTTTTCTAATTCTTAGAAACAAAACACGTGCATGCGGTAGAGTCAAAGCCCGCTTCTTCATATCTCTTCAGTTAGTTTGTTACTTATATATCTATACACAAGATGCACCAAAACATTGTGGAGTTAGGTATTCGTGAAACTTTCAAAATGTCGCAAAACAAAAGAAAACAAATTAATATTGAAGAATAATCGCGTATTATATCCAACCTAGAGAGCGGAATTTCAAACAAAGACAGCAAAGTGTGGTGTGGTGTATGACACTCGACAATTTCAACCATTTGGAAAGAGCGATGACGATACGTTAATTAAAATCCAACGTGAATCACAAAATATCTATGCGCAAAAGAAGTGTTCCAAACAGACCAAAATTACAGATTTTATGCTCACAGAAAAGTAATATGCATTGTACTTACTTATGTGTAATAAACAAAATGTACATAGTTGAATAAATTTATTATAAAAAAAAGAACACAATATTCCTAACCTAAAAGTTGCATAAATATATTTTTCCAATAATTCCCTATTGATTTCTTTGTACTTGCACGATACACATTAAGCATCACCGGTTGTTACGACTATCGGTTTTTACGACTGAATATGAGCAGTCCCTTCGATGTCGTTATAACAGATTTTGACTGTATGAAATTCTCATAGAGTAGAAAATGAGGAAACCGACCACGTTGAGATCTGTCGTGGGGTCCGGCAGGGGTGTGTCTTATCCCCGTTACTTTTTAATGTCGACTCAGAGGCTGTGATGTCAAAAGTTCTTGAAAACCTTGAAGTGGGAATAGGAATCAAGAAACCCGGATTTGAGTTCAAGCGTATCTGTAGCTGGGAAACAACTAGAGCGGGTACGACAGTACAAGTATTTAGGAGCTTGGGTAAATGAAGCATGGGAATCTGATCAAGAAATCAAAACCCGGATAGAAACTGCTCGAGCCTCTTTTAATAAAATGAGGAAAGTTCTTTGCTGTCGTCAACTGAATATACAGTCATACATACAGCTCCGAGTCAGGCTACTCATGTGCTATATCTTGCCTATCGTCATGTATGGTTGCGAAACGTGGACCCTGAAAGAGGACACTACAAGACGCCTACAGGCATTCGAGATGTGGTGCTACCGTCGCATGTTACGCATTAGTTGGACGCAGAGGGTCAGGAACGAAACCGTGCTTCAGCGCGTTCATATGTCCCGGAAAATGTTGCCTGCTATCAAAAAGCGCAAGATAGAGTATCTCGGCCACGTGCTCAGGAACGATCGATACATGCTGCTGCAGCTTATAATTATGGGCAAAGTGGACGGAAAGAGACGTGCTGGGCGAAGAAAAAAGTCATGGCTCCGGAATATCCGGGAGTGGACCGGTATTGCCTCCGTCGAACAGCTGTTCCGGCTGGCTGCTGACAGAAAGGAATACAGAAAGCTAACGGCCAACCTTTAGGATTGAAGAGACACTGGAAGAAGAAGAAGAAGAAATTTTCATTCTTCGTGTTCGTTATATTAACGAAGTGTTTCGGGTCTCCCTCACATGTCAGCCTGGGGACCGGTGAAGGGGGTCTAAGAAGACGACGTACAAGCTGCTCTGCACGCAAGAGCATCCGGGTGATGGAAGCCCGGCTATCCTCAACCCACGCTGGTTCTGACACAGCGGGTTATTCCGTAGGATAGACCATTCTAACCAGCGCCATCTGGGCGGGCTTCGGATAGCCTGCCGACCGAGAAGGCTGGTGGTCGTGGCGCCGATGACCGCCGGTCCGACGTCCCGAGAGGGAGGGTGATGGGAGAGGTGTGCTCCGCACTAAACGCTTCACTTTCCCCCTTTTGCCTTTTCATGAGTTCTGTCTCATGCGAGGCTTGGATGCTGGTTGTTGAGCGACAGGAGGTTTTAGTCGGCTCAACTTCGACATGCCCCGCCCTCCATCCCTAGTGGAGGGCGGGGCAGGAAGTCCGGTGATTTCCTCCTGACAAAAAAAAACAGTCTTAACGGGTTCAGTGAAAACTTTGGTGTTGATTTACGCGGGATATAATATATGTTTTGAAAACATAAACATCGAGTACCTACTATAAACCTAAATTAATTGTAGATAAAATGATATCAGTAATAACGTCTACGAACTGTCGAATAAATAATTGAATGTGACATAGATTTAGAGGGCACGACGCAGTTGTTCGGCGCCTATAGACAGCAGGCGAGGGCGCTGACCTCACGACCCGTCACGTGCTTTGATAATTATATATGGGACAGACAATGATTC